TGTGCAGACCCATTTGGACACCAGCTGGGAACGACAGTGAAGCATGCAGTAGCTACAGAGTCCTTCAAAAACTGGTGGAGACCAAAACAAGAGCTAAAAGACAGCGAATAGTGGACATTTATAAGACAGAAAAATGCTTGACTCCCAAAGAAGAGCTACTAAAGCAACCTAAATGGTGATAATACGCCTAATTTCATTATCACAGGTTTAACTGCAGATGATTTCAGTTACTTTCACGAGTCTTGTTGTAGCACAGCGTCCCATAACTGTCTTTTAATCACTATCTGAACACTTTTAAATTGTGTATTGTTGGCATGAAACCAGCTGCTATTCTTTGTCCCAGCTCTGTGTAAAACATATTCCTGAACAAAAGGAAATGAAGTGTAGGAGCTGAAGTCAGATTCTTCTGTAATCGCCGTGTGTGATTATGCTTTTGTTGCAGAAATCTGCCCCTGGCCATCGCCATTTCCATGCCCATAGTGACCATCATCTACCTACTGACCAACGTGGCGTACTATGTGGTTCTAGACATGTCCTCTCTGCTTGCCAGTGACGCTGTCGCTGTGGTGAGACACCTGAGAGTTTCGTTCCTGCTAAATATAGGTCTGTTCAGCTTAGAGCAGGACATTTTGTTCTCTGAGATGAAAACAGGACTTGAGAAAATAAAGTAATGTAACATCTACGTCAGCTGCAGAAAATATAAGGGTTTAAGGCCACGACAGACCCTTAGGAAAACTGCTCAGATCTCTTCATCGTGAATATGCAGTGTGAAATAACCAATGCAAATGTGACCCCACAGACATTTGGAAATGCGGTCCTGGGGCCGTTCAGCTGGATCATCCCTGTTTCTGTAGCCATGTCCTGCTATGGAGGACTCAATGCTTCCGTCATTGCTGCTTCACGGTAATGAGAAAATACAGAGTGTGTCCCAACTTACACTTTGATGGCACTTGTGATGGAAGTATGACTGATGAAGTATGTTCCCACTAACCTTCCACCTCGCTGATCACACAGGCTGTTTTTTGTTGGAGCCAGAGAGGGTCACCTCCCCAACAGTCTGAGTCTGATTCACCTGAAGCGCTACACGCCCATACCTGCTCTGCTATTCAACGTGAGAAACAAAACTGCCTTGTAAAACACAAATGAACGTGTTTCATCATACCACGATCCCATGGGGATTCTTTACTTGTCCTTGTGCTGTGTGGCTACAGGGCTTAATGGGCCTGATTTTCCTGTGTGTGAGGGACGTGTTTCAACTCATCAACTACTTCAGCTTCAGCTACTGGCTCTATGTGGGTCTCTCTGTGGCTGGCCTCATCTACCTACGCATCACCCAGCCGGAAAGATACAGACCTGTCAAGGTGACGCTTCTTTTTTTTTTAAGTTTGACCTTTTTTGAAGAAAAGGTCAGAGATCCAAATAACATGATATTTAGGATCCACATCATTCCCTATATGCCACTATGCTGTCAACACCAACAATGCCAGCAGGAAACCTAGCTTTAAATAACTATATGGCATTAATATCATATCATTCTGACATTCAGAACAATCTACTATCCTTGATAGAGAGGTCAGAGGTCAAATATGGCATGATATTTTATCATATACAGGACTTTCTAAATGTTACCAACACACACCACAGCTGTAAGAGGTTATAAGAGGCAGTCAGCAAAGCGTTGGCTTTGGTGTGATATCTAGCGCCCAGTAGGTTTACATACAAACATTTGAAAACAGGAAAGCTGGCATGAACGGTGCCAAAGAGAGGAACCGAAACTGATAAGGATGCGTGGCAGTCTGGGATCTCAACTTAAAACAGGAAGTCACAAGCACATTAAGAAAGGTCAGATATGTATTTTGTTTGACGTGACATAATTTCTGTATGCAAGCTTGCCAACTTCTTTGACCTTCACAATTAACGTCTCCGAGTTTATTTACACTAGATTAACAATTCATGGTTTAAAAATTATACCCATTCAGCTGTAGCGCTGCTGAAACACTAGCATGAATGAGGAGAAAATGCGTGACTTGCCCCTCGTTATAAACAACACAAAAGCAACAAATACACATTTAAGAGCGAAATAAGCTGTCGAGTGGTTGTAAGCAAATATAAAAACATTTTCAGATTCTGCTAAAGTGCTGTCCCCAAATCTGACCTCTCCCATCACAACAAACTGTTTTCACTTCCTGCTACTGCCACCTGTTCCTTGTTTATACATCAGCTTCCATATGATGAAATAAAATCAGGAATTGTGTAAAGAAAGAAAGAAATATAAATAGTTACCATAGTTGCATGCACTCAGAATTCAAGTGCGGTGTTGTTTTGTGCACACTGAGTGATTATGAACGTAAAAAGGTGGTGAACACTGTGTTTTGAACCATTGCTCTTCATGTCAACATACACATTTAAACACTCAGAGATTCTCAGAAAGACTAACCAGATGTGCGTGTCTCTCTTCACAGCTCACCTTGTTCTTCCCCTTCATCTACTGTTTTTGTAGCCTGTTCTTAGTCATCGTCCCTCTGTACGGTGACACCATCAACTCCCTCATAGGAATTGGTATTGCACTGTCTGGTGTGCCAGTTTATTACGTGGCCATTTACCTGCCTGAGGAGAGAAGGCCTAAATTCATCCGCAAGCTAAACAGTAAGACTTAAAATCTATATTTTATACTGTTTTCAGTTTTTCTCTAGGCCTCGTTGTTGGTTGAATATATAGTCATGTGAAAAACTAAGCACATCTTTACTGCTTCCATAGGAATGCAACAATTGCAGTGAGAAAGAATGTGAGAGATGGCATGATGTTCTAACCTGGCAGCTCAGCTTAGGTTTGCAAAGTTGGAACAACGTTTTCTGGACAAACGTAGAGATGTAAATCAAACACAGCATATCAGTGCAAACACCTCATACCAACTGTAGTGGAGGGTGATGGTTTTAGCTTATTTTGCAGCTGTGCATAAATGAATGCCTGCAAACCTCAATGAACTGAAGCAGCGTTTTAAAGAGTTGGCCAAAATATCGCCACAATGATGTGACAGACTCATAAAGTAATACAGAAAGTGATCGCTTCAAGTTATTGCCGTTAAAGGTGGTTTCACAAGCTACAAAAAGATTTTCACAGGACTGCATAGCATTCTGTTCTTTTCCTTTTTCAAAGAAGTGAAAACGCCCTGATTTAAGTCATTCTCCTTAGAATTACGTGCTACATGTCCTCCTTTCGCCCTTTACCCAGATTGCCAAATACCGCCGTCTTTAACATCAAATTCAGCATTAGTCATCCTGAATCATGAATCAGCTGTAACTGACCTCTTCTGTTCCTCTCTTTCTTCCCATCCCTCCCACATCCTCCGCCGTGTCCTCGTCTAGCCTTCGCCACCAGATACACCCAGATGTTGCTGTATTGCTGCATGACTGAATCTGACACAGAGGAAGAAATTCATGGAGGCATTAAAACACAATGAATCTGCAAACAGACTCCCAAAGCCTTGTTCACGGAAAACAAGGCTTTGCATGTACTCTCAGCGTTTGTGAGGATTTCTCAAATGAAAGACAAATAATTTGAGAAACTGGTGACGTGATTTCTTCAGTAAACGTGCTACGCTTTTCTACTGAGAGCAAAGAATATCTTCTATGAGGATATACGTTTAAAAATGTTGCCAAAACTAGATTTTTATTTTTGAGAGTTTTGTGAAGATGTAAGCTGATCACCTTTTGCCTGATTAACACGTTACGTAATGAAAATCCTACTGCCGTGGTCATGTGTTCACAGTCTTCAGTTTTCAGAAGCATATTTAAACTTAATATTCATCTCTGGATTTTTTTTTACAGTTTGATTATATTCATATGTGGATGACTGTGCAAGTGTAAAACACTATTAACAATGTCGCTTTCAGCTAATGCAACTGATTCCTGAGCCGCTTCTCTGCAAAGCTGTTTCACTTCAGGTATTTTCAAAATGTTTGCATCTTCTTTTTTTGAGAGAGAGATAGCCAAGCTTTTTTTCCACCAACCAAACATTTACTGCAGGCTGGTGGGAAAGTCCCTCACACGTTCGCTCACTGTCCTTCGGCAGTTTGCAGCTTTGTGTGTCTTCTGTCAGCAGCTCTGAAACCTGCACGAGTGCAGAACAAAACAATCAACATTTAGATTTTATTTAAATGGCAAACTGTCTAATAATTTTACTATTTGAAAAACTCATCTGAACCAAAGAGCTTCAGCTCCGTATTTTTATTCTTGCACTTTTATTCTTGCTGAAATATCTCAAACAAATACGTTTCTCTCCCTTTTAGGACAATCTGTGTTTAAGATTTGTTGTGATTGGCTGCTCCTCACAAACAGAAGGTTCGAGTGCTTACAGTCAGAGCTGCGTACCTGGGGTGGCCAAATTACTGTATCAATTCACTCTGACAGGAAACAGAGCCAAGGGTAGAAAAATGAGCAGTCTGAAGCAGCAGATTCTTATTCTATTTCTTTTTTTTAAATGAATGTATGTATAATGTGTGAATATTCTCTCAAATCTGTATCCATCTGTATTCAGAATACCAGTCTTTAAAAGCTTGTGATCATGCTCTCCAGAATGTATTCTAACCTGGAAGTTATAAATGATGTAAAGTGAAATGAACTTGAAAAAAAGAAAAGATTAAACTAATTCCAATCTGCATGCCGCCCATTCTTTCATCAGCTTGCTAGAGTATGTGCCGTTAACATGCACAGCATGAAGAGGTGAAAGCGGCTTTCAGTATGACTTGATTAGTATTCTGATTAGTTTGACTTAGTAGAGAAATCAAAATGATTTCGATACGACTGAGAAACCATGTGTGCTCACTGCAGTGACCTCGACGTCGCACAGTAAAGCAAACGTTACTCTATCCAGTCTTGTTTTGGGCCCATGAGCTCCAGACTGAACATCAGATTGTTTTCAATTAGATTTTAAATTAGACCCAAGTTAGACCTCCTGACTTTATCAGGAAAATATTTGCTGAGGTCACAGAGAAAGCAAGCCCAGACCTTTCTACACAACTTTTTTTTTCCAATTACAGGAGTCTCCCCCTGCTGGCTGTTGCAAAGAATACAAGCTTAAGAAATGCTGAAAAGCTCAATCAATCTTTTGCACACTGTCTATGCTATGCACAAGACAAGTAATAGTCTCAGTATAAAACAGGAAACAAACAAAAACCAAAACTCTCAACAAGGCAAAGTAATAAATATCATGGATTTACAGTTTATTAACCAGTTAAAAGATTCATGTAGTTACATCCTACTGAATGTATGTGTTATAAACGCTCTATTATTATATCTTTTGTGGACATTTTCTGTTTATGGAGAAGGACACATTGTTCAAAGGAAACATTTCTCAGAGGCAACATATGGAGCCTGCAGGATCCGTTCGTCTCTTACAGCAGGGCGCACTTGGCGGCATCAAAACCAGGGCAGATCCACTTGTTGCTGAACTTTTTGTATCCCTCGGCGTCGCTCAGTGTACTTCCTGAGCAGAGAGAAGCAAACATTGCTGATGTGATTTCATAATTCACAGTAACATCGAGCGATTATTCCACTTACCGTCCATCAGGTTCTGCATGCTGCAGTAGTTTGTGCCGTTATCAGCTGGATCTGTGGAGAACTCAGACACCGCCTCTCCCTGCTCGTCAGAAACATGTTGGCTTGTCAAACAAGAAATTCTGGGAGTAAATCTGATGAAATGTTCAGCGTTCTGATTTTATCTCCGATCAAGCATTCCACCATACTTGTAGTCTGTAATTTATACACAGTTTATACACACTTACGGTCACTTTGCAAATTGTGGACTGCTCTACAAGGAACTGAAGGTCGTTCACTTTCTTTGTTCTGGGAGATGTGTGCGTGGCTATGATCAGGTTGGGAGCTGATGAGACAAGCTGTCAAGACATTTCAAGCTGATTGAAGTCTGACAGTAACATTTTATGTAACACAAAGTGCCAGAAGGAGTCTGACGAGTTTGCAGGCTTGGCAAAATGACAGCTGAGAGCTCAACCTAGGTTTGCCACTTATCTGTACTTTAATTTTAATAACTGTACAGTACTGTTTTGGTAACTATTGTCTATGATGTAAATATGTAAAAATCTTTGTGTGCTTCTGTTCTATGTCTTGTATCCTGCTCTGTTTGTACATGTGTCTTTTTGCTCCTTTTACAACCAAATTTCCTCTTGTGGGACAATTAAAGGATTATTCTATTCTAAAACGTTAAGGCACCTAAACATACCTACAGGAACTGCTTGACCTGGGGAAAGTCCTGCTATGCTGATGTTAATGCCAGAGAAGAAACTGCAGTTATTGAGACAGCAGTGTTTTGGTGACATTTCGATGCGATTCATTCAGATTCGGTGCGCCTGCTTGTTAGCTTTACATGGTCTGACACTTTCAAGACTGAGTTCCTGTGGTTTTCTAAATACTTCTACTATGCAATAATACCACTTACCGCTGTGCTACTTTCAGTTTCTCCCTTGCAACAACTTTACAGCAGGCAGCAGGTAGTTCTGCATGTTTGATCTGGCAGAGTTTGTGGGTCTGTGGGTCTTTGCTTTTAGCAGTAACTCATTCATTTAAATACATACATCAAGAAAGAGATCACTTTACCCAAATCCCATAAACAGCATTTATAACATACATAGCAAATGTTATTAATGGTTAGCAAATGCTTCATCTTCACTGAGGGTGAAGTTTGAGGTTTTTTAGTGTAAAAAATTTATCCCACGCTTTAAAGAATAGGAAGTGATGTGTCTGACCTCATAGGAGCACTGCTCTCCTGCATACAGACAGCTTCTGCTGATCTGCCAGGCTTTGATCTGGCTCACAAGCCTTTCAGAGACATTGCTGCAGGAGATGCCAAAGAGCCTGAAGAGCAGAGCAGTGAAATTATTCAATCAAAATGTGTTGACAGAAGCACAAGAAATATCAGTTCACTTAAAGAGAGATGTTACTTTAAGAAGAAAAAAAAATGGAAACTGTTCTCTGCACAGACATGACTAATGTGAGTGCACAAACACGACCAAAGAAGACTGAATTGAACATCACTGCAACAAAACTTCTGCATCTGCTATTAATAACTCCATGAATTCATTTTAGGAAAAGGTGCACTGCAAAGTGTATAATTCAACATCTCAGTTCCACACACAAATCCTCAAAGACAATACACGTTACCATTTGATTTTGCAGTGTGCAGTGCGTTCAGCCGGAGAGATGCTGAGTGTTGCCCCCACAATCAGAGATGAAGATAAAAAGAGGAATCTCAGGTCCATACTAAAGGCGGGTATGCTGAAGGTCGGTTTGTAGTGTGCAAACGTCTCCTAAGTGTCTGCTCAAACTGTCCCTGGGGTTTAAAAGAGCACCCGGCTCATGTGGAAGACTGGAGGAGGTCAGTGTAAGGTTGATTAACATGGCCTGTGCCGTGGGAGATGGGACAGTTATATATGCAATTAGACGCAGCTGGTTATTTCTGTGTCTTTCATTCTGGATATTCAGTACACTGAATATTTTTGAAACTGATTTCCTGCTTTCTGCAGTCAAGCATTTCCATGGAAGATGTGTTCAAAGGCGTGAAACTGGATTAAAACACAGCATGTAACCGTGTAAGAAACCATTCTCAGCTACACACATTCCTTTAGTCTCCTTTCTACCTCCCAGGATCAAACTTTGGGTGTTTTGTGAATGTTTCTTTTTCTTTTAAGCAAGCAACGAAGACGAAAACGACTGTTCTTCAAGAAACCTGGAGAAATTACAGGAAAGCTGCCCAAGAGAGTTCAGAGTGTGTTGAAGAATAAAGGCACACACTATTTTTACTGCACCCATTCCTAGCACAACTTTTTCCCCAGTGCTGTGTTAATCAATTATATTCCTTGCTAAATGTTAAATGATCAGTCAGGTTCTAACTGTAAATCATAGGATCACTTGGACACAACTGAAGTTGAGAACAGCTGCACAGGACTGTCCCAGGTCTAAAACCGGTTATGTTGGGGGTTTTTTTAGTGCAACGACAGAGCTGACTGCGGTCAAACAGCATTTGTTATGGAGCACTGCGTGCTCAAAAAAGAAACATTTTAATCTCTTTGGCATAACTAGAAATCTATGAGACATGGTTTAGTTTTGGTTGATGAAAAATAATGAGGCGAACGAAATCATTTGCTGTGGGTAAAAATGGTGAAAAGGTGGGTCAAAGTGGGACAAGGCATGAGTGTGTGTTGCCACCTAGTGGCTGAAAGTGGAAGTTTCCATTTGAAAACCTTCAGATTCACTCCGTGATTCCACTGAAATGTCCTTCCAAGACAAAACTGTGACAGTTTCCCTTTTGTCAGACTCCACCCTCAGTCTCAGCTCAGATGGTTCTGATAAACAACAAGTTTTGGTATTACTGTCCAACTTTAGTGCTACGATGAATTCATTATGAAGTGAGTAAAAGTGGCTGTCCAAAGTACAAAACAAAACCTTTATTATTGATGACCATGTTCATTCCTTAATGACTCATCTCCTGATGGCTGTTTCCAGCAGGATAATGTGCAATGTGACAAAGATCAAATCATCTCAAACGGTTTATTTTTAATATGACAATGAGTTCACTGTATCCAGATAGCCTCCACACTCATCAGACCTTAATCCAATAGAGCGCCCTTTGGGATTTGTTAGAACAGGATTTTCACATCATGGATGTGAAAAATCAGTTCAGTATGGAGCAAAATGTTTGAGGATTGTTTCCAGCATCTTGATGAATAAATGTCATAAAGAATTAAGAAAGGTCTGGAGGTAGTTGTACCTAATTAAGTGGCCATATATCCAAACACAAGACAATGTCAAAAACATTTTGCACAAAAATAATCTAGGTTGTCTGGACATGAAATGTATCAAAAACATTAATTTACTTTTATAAATAAAAATGATAAATTAGCATCTAAAAATTGTATAAAAGAAGAAGAAGAAGAAGAAGAAGAAGAAGAAGAAGAAGAAGAATGGAAGTACGCCCATTTTCAAAACAAGTGCTCTCTCCACCTTCTTTGAACTGTGTTGCTGGCATGAACTTTAGATTTTCCAAAAGACAAACAACATCACAACTCATCTTACAACTTGTTTTAATTTATTATTACATTTAAATGATTTGCACATCATTACATTATGTTGTTCCAGTTTTATACAACAATTGTTTCCATATCTTTTGTAGAAACAGAGGTCTCTACTACAAAGCAACTTCAGCATAACAACAGTATCGTTGGATTTACTTACCCTACACTGAGCATCAGGATAAAGTGTCACATAAAGCTAGTTATCACAGTTAATAATAATAATAATAAAAATAATAATAATGGATTGGATTGATATAGCGCTTTTCAAGGCACCCAAAGCGCTTTACAATGCCACTATTCATTCACTCTCGCATTCACACACTGGTGGAGGCAGCTACGGTTGTAGCCACAGCTGCCCTGGGGCAGACTGACACAAATCTAACCATTTTAACAGATGACTGCAGCAGCACATCATTCAGCGTGATGGCAGATAACAGCTGAAGCTGATTTCATTTGGGTGAAAATTGGGTCAAGATCAAAGTCAAAGGTCACACCAAATGTAAAAACACAGTAGATACGTTATATTACCCTCAGTTTTTATGGATTGACTTCAAACTTCACAGAAATATACTTTGCCTTAGAGGACATGCGTACCTGTTACCACCCGACATTAAAGTTGCCTTAAAAAAGAAACCATATTGAGTATAATATAGTATACGAACTGGCATGGAGAGAACCGTTTATTCTCTCCACTTCAGTTTTTATTCTCAAAGGTAAGACATCAGCATGTTGTTATAAAAGCAGGTTGGTGTCAGCATGTCGTAATTAAAAACATCCAAATTTTAGTACATCCCCTGCTTCTGGGGCTGCACATTAAACTGGATCTATGTAAACATTAAAGCTTACTGTCCCACAGCCCATTAAAAGAGAGCTGGAAAAAGCTTCATGTATACTTCATGTACATTTCCATCGGTGTAAAGGAGACTTTACAGCAGATTAGAATGAGGTATTCATATTTTCTGCATCATTAAATGAATACATGCATATTTCTGTGACATTGTGACGCACAGCTTGTGCTTCATTCAGTGGTTTTAGAAAATCACAGCTTACCAGCTTGCAAATATGAACCATTTACTCCCGGCAGAGAATCTGTGTTGTGCTCAAAGCATGTTGTAAAAAGAAGAATCAGCGCTTCCAGAAAATTTTAAACCAAAACTCTGAACATCCTCTCCCAACAGCTTTACTTTTTAATCTCTCAGCTGCTTTTGTTTGTGCTTTTAAGGGTTTGAGTGTAGAGATGAAATTGTAATTAAGTTATACTGCAATATACTGTAAACCATCACTGTAGTACAGAAAACTCAGGGTTATCTGGTTACGACGAAATCCTGTTTCCTCTGTTTTGGATACTTAGTAACTCAGTTTGATCACAAAGCTACAGATTTCAATTTCAAGCACTTTGATTCATCTTTAAAACAGCTGAATCGCCCCATCTTCAGGTTTTTGGACATTTGTCACACACAAGAGCTTATAGCTACTTTCATTCTTTACAAGCAATTCATTGCACAGAGGGAGTGGCCAGTTTCTGACATACAAAAGAATTGGATTGTTTGGTCATTTTTGTTTCGATATTCAATGTTTATCTTTCATGTTGAAGACGTTGCCTTATTCAAGTATTAGAAACACATCAGTTCAATTCCTCTGTTAAAGACTAATATAAAACCATCACCTGAAAATGACTATAAATATCTGCTGAAGTGAACTTTACATATCCCACTCAGATAACCGAGTCGAGCTATGATCAACACAAATCAAACGAGTAAAGACAAGCTTGTGAGGTGTCAGACTTTGGTGATGTTTCTAATTTTCAGACTTATACTGGAATCTGGTAGCTCCTGTCTGATGCGCTGGCCAAGCTGAAAGACATCATTTTTAAACCCATTATTTTGAGTCGCTCATTGACACACATACAGAACTGGCTGTTACAGTTTCTATCGACATTAAGCTTATTTTGTAAAAAGACAGGTACCTCGTTCAAGATCGGCTGAGCTGTCATCTCATTTAGATCAAATGGGCCAGCGTACTGGACATAAGCCTGAAGGATTGCCACGTCTGAAAGATCAACAGAGAAAAATTAATCAAAATCAGACCTTTGATTTCAGGCCTCAGTGCAAATTATACACTACAATTTAAAAGGCACTTACATTCTGGCGTATAAACTGTAGACATTGCTCTATCAAAAGCAATGGGAAATGCTGCTGAAACGAGCACAGATAAGGTCACATTTCATATCTAGACCATTTTAACTTATAACCATTGTTATTTAAAAGATCGATTTTAAATTTCCTTATGATCACTAAAGAGTAACTCACTGGTCTGTGCAGGCGTTCCTATTACAGTTACTGAAACATGAGCAAAGTTAAGGTCACATTTCATATCTAGACAGTTTTAGCTTATTAACATTGTTATTTAAAAGATCACCATTACATTTCCTTATGATCATTAAAGAATGTACTCACTGTTCTGTGCTACAGATGTGGCCAAACATCCAGCAAACAGGATCAGCAGCAGCATGTTGAAGCTTTATTCCAAAGAAAAGAGCGAAATCTGTTAAGGTGCAGTATTGTTCCCGTAGTCTGTCTGTCTGCTTTTAGTCTGTAAGAGAGACTAATAGTGTTACAGAGAGGGAGTGGCCTGGTTGCAAAACTTCCTTGAAGAATTGGATGAGCAGGAACAATGGGGTCAGAACAAACCATGTCATGAAACATGAGGAAGTAGCACAGTTTTCAGACAGTGAGGCACTCCTACTCTTTAAAATATTCTCAGGAAAAAAAGAAACAGCTACCAAAAAGTCAAACAGATTGTAACACACAAAGAAAGCACAGAAAACATTTCAGCTGCTGCTAAAGCTGGGTAAGAGAAATAGCTGAATACCTTTCACACTGTGTATATGTAGTGAAGTAGGTAGTTTAGGAAAGCTTTCAAGGTACCGCAGTCATACAAATACTCGGAGAGTGGCTTGTCAATAACATTTTATTGAGAACTCTTTGCGTATGTATGTACTTGTAAGACAAAACAAGCAAAGAAAAGGAGAATCCAAAGAAAAAAATCAGATTACACTAGATTCACAGAGTCTGAAAATCTAACAGATCCAAGATTTACTCTGAAATGAGTGCGACACACCAAAAAAGACACAAAAAACAAATGATCCTGAAACTGAGTAGTTCTCAATGGTAAAGCAGCAATCAGAGGAGAAAGACACTAAAGCTTCTTTGACTTTCTGCTGCTGCTTGAGCTGCTCGCAGAGCTGGAACATCTGGAGGTGGTGAGAGGAGGGGAGGTCGCAGTCAGATCCAGGCTCAGTTCCACCGTCTTCAGTGTCGGGGAGTGAGGCGCAGCGGTCCGGGGGCTGGCGCTGGCTGAGGATGCCAGAGACCTGCAGAGGAAAACAAAACATAAAAATGCAAAAGAAGAAGCTTCTTTGGAGGATCAGAGGTTTTATTAGGAACGGATGAAGCCTGACCTGAAAGAGGTGGAGCAGCGGGGGGAACTTGTCTTGGAGCTCCGCTGGCTGGCAGGAGTGGGAGAAGGAGAGGGAAGAGACAGACTGGCCTGAGAGAGAGAAAACGTTCAAGTTAAAGGAGCTTCAACAGTAAATCAAAGCGTTCAATAATCCTTGAAGAACTGTACCTGCAGGAAATACTTCTCCATCACTGATCTGAGGTCAGGATTGCCCTCCCAGACCTCATTCAGCATCCTGTCCACATTCTTGATGAATTCCTTCAACTCCCTCAGCTTAATGTCTTTCTCTTCGAAAGTCTCGCCTTTGGTGCCCTTTGCTGAGCGGACTTCTTTGGTCAGCTTAGAGAACTGGAAAATCAGCACACATTTATAACATGGCGCTGCTTCGTTCGGCTGTTGACTGGTCACAGGTGCGGCAGGTTAACAAATGTGCTTAGAAAACATGATGCAGTTGGACATCAAACCTGCTTTGAGGCTCTGTCAATTTTCTCCTGCTGGGAAGTAACTTCTTCGTTCATTTTGCTGACGAGGGCATGTTTGTTCTCTATCTTATCTCTCTCCATTCGCTCTTCTTGTGGCAGACTTTCCAACACACTGTTCAGGTCCTGAAACCAGAGCGCGGTGTACACACACACACATAAAAAGAAAGCATTCACTGAGGCACACATACACAGGGATTCATGCAAGGTTAGTTACACTAGATGACTCCGATAGTTTTTACAAAAATTAACTGTTAATAATACTCTGCTATATGATACTCAAGCTACTCTTTCATGCTGGAAATGAGAACAAATACCAACACAGATTTTTTAACTCAAGAGGATTAAAAATGGCAAATAACATTTAACTGTATAACTGCTGTTGACCTGAGACTGGTTCTTATAATGTGGAAACTAAGCAGCTCTCACACGGAGCTTATTATTAATTGTTAATTAGATTGTCATTAAATGTCATTAAACTCCAACCCCCTCGATCAAATTCTTGTTTATTTAATAGATTAACTGATGGACAATATGCAGCTGAGAAAGATACTTTCAGCTCTTTCTGAGCTACACAGAAACACACCTTCCCCCACATGTGTGCGCATAAACCAGGGACGCCAAACTCCTTTTACATCATGAGCCAAGTGCAGTGGCCTGTTAAAATTCCCTTTCTGACAGCGTGAAGAAGATTAACTACACATTTAGTCCCCAAGATATTTTGATAAAAGACAAGGAAGTGCAATTTAATTTAATTTAATTTAATTTAATTTAATTTAATTTAATTTAATTTAATTTAATTTTATTTTATTTTATTTTATTTTATTTTATTTATGTTTTGTTTTTTGTTTTTTTGCCTGTTCCGTTTGGATCTTTAGCCATCAGAATTGTTGTCTGAAGGCCAAGAAAGATGCCAAGCGGATTTACTTTACCAATTGGATCATCATGGCCTTGCCATATTGGTCCATTTGATTGACCTTTATTATAATTATGTATTTATTTGATTTGATTTTCAGTCGTTACAGACGGGACAGACGTGACTGGGGGATAGGACAGGGAGAGAGAATGAAAGAAAGAGAGGGAGAGAAAGAAAAATAGAGGGGAGAAGAGATGGTGAGAAAGGGGGGGTGCAATTTTAAAAGTACGTCTCAGTTTTTCTACATGATGATGAAAAAGAACTGCTGTAGTAAATGAAAGAAATGTGTCTACTGGGCCACACTGGAGTCTATGTTAGGCCAATTCTGGCCCTGTGCCTTGTTTTTCACACCCCAGCAATAAAAAAACAAAGTCATCTCCAGGTTAGCACTAAACTTCATGAATTGTTTCACCCCCTGAAACTCCTCTCTTCAGATGTTGCATGTGATACTTGTGATACGAAAGCAGCTCCCTGATTGCATAGTTTCATCTGTTATCTGACAGATAAATACGGAACCAGCATCCCAAGTAGTCAAAGTCATCTTTCATTTTATCAGCAAAGAATAGCACCAGCTGGTGGTTTCTACAAACACAGGAAGAACTGAGTATACAAGACTATTTTAGACCCAACTCAAAAAACATTAACACACTAAACTGCTTTGTGTGTTTAGCCTGTAGTTCAGCCTTGTGCTGAACATTATGATGACAGACTTCACCTAATTCCAAATTAGCTTGAGGTATTCAGCATTTAAGTACAGGTTGCTTTTTCTTAGTACTAGCAGCTACTATAAATAGCAAAAACCTGCATATCCTGTTGAAGCTCTTGGATCTGCCTTTTCTTATAGTTCAGCGTCTCTTGACCCACGTTCAGCTGCCCTTCCAGTTTCACTTTTTCCTGGTACATTGGACCTAAAGAGGAAAAAATGACATAAAACTTCCTGGTGATAAGGGGGACTTTTGAGTTGCTGGTTTGGTGTCATTCCATCCACCCTCTCATACATACTGGATTCATTCACTTTGTTCAGAGACTGGCGAAATGCAGAGTTACTGTTGTTGAACAGCTGGGTGGTGTTTTCCAGAGCTTTGTTTTCCAGCTCCACTTTGTGGATTGTAGCATCCAGCTCATCGCCTTTCCTCCTAAGCTCCTCTTTCTCTTGTGCAGCCTGCAGAAAAAGCACAGAGTGGTCATTCAAAGTGATTGTGTGGTGCTGTGGGGAAAAAAATCAAACCATAGTCTGCTTTAACACAGCAGTGTGTGTGCAGACCTTTGTGATGTAGTAAGCCTGCGATTTTGCCTCTTCTTCCTCAGGAGGTGCCATGGAAAGGCTCACAATCTCGAAACATTTCTTCATCGTGTCAATCTTGGATAGTTTCTCACTGAGTTCAGCACTGAGACAGAAAAAAAATCTGATAAACCAGATGCAAAACTCAACTGACAGCAAAGTGGATAGTCTTGTTCTTGTTGTCCCACCTGAGTTTCTGCCTCTCCTGCTCATTGATCTTGAGCTGCTGGCTGAGCATTTCTTTGTAGACCTTAATCTCATCCTCCCTCTCCTTCATGGTTGTTTGTAGCTGCAGCAGTCTCTTCTCCAGCGACAGCACGTTGTCAGCCTTGCTGTACAGAAGATCCCTCACACGTTTGACCTGTATCTTTAACATTTGGTGCTCCACTTTGTTTTCCTGATGAGAAACACATGAGGCTAACAATAACATGTGTGGTCCATGGGGTATCCATCCATTTCCATGTGATCAACAGAAATTTGAATGTTTTCAGTCCTAACCCACATTGGTTAGTGAAGAAAAAACAGGCTAATTATTTACTATTTATTAAAACACCCATTGTTTGACTCATTATTACACTTTTTTATTCCACAAAAAGATGAGACATCATGCTAATGCTAAACTAGCCAAGAACCCAGAGTGTTGTTAAAGCTGAGCGAATGCAGACCCCACCCCGTCCGCTGGACCCTGAATGTGTGTCCTCATTAGGATAGGGATTTATGTTGGTGTGTGGGACTGTAGAGTATAGGGTTATACTGATAAGTGTTTCAGGTCATTTTTCAGAGAAATGTGAAAGTAATGTAACAAGTTAGTTTCTCCTGAGGGTAATTAAGTTATGTACTGCATGTGTTCTGTGTAGTACAGACAGCACATTACTTATTTTAAGTGACAACACCAACAATGATCATAGCAAAGAGTAAAAAATACCTTCAACACGCTTAAACATTTGACCACACAGCATGCAGTCGATTTGCATGAATGTAATGTCTTTGAAATAATGGTGTTGACTCTCACAGTGGAGCTAATGAAAACCTAATGAGAATCAATAAGAAACTGCTAAATTCTTATCAATTCCCATCCCTACTCCTAGGGGGTCATCTGATTGTTGGGTTGTCTCTGTGTTATTGTAGGTTCTTTAAAATAAAAGCTGAATTTAAATTATAATGGTGAACATAGCACACCACAACCACGTGCCTATGAGCATGATGCACTGAATTAGCCTCCATTAGTGAGTTACCTGCTTCCTCAGTCTGAGAGTCTTCAGCTCCTTCTCACTGATGTTACGGATTAGCAGGAGCTCCTCCACCTTACTGCTCAGATCTCTCTTCTGAGCTTCAGACTTCTCAATCTCTTTCCTGAAACTGCGAATATCATCCTGCCAGAGACAAACAAATGCAATACGTCAGATGGGATTCATAAAAAGGCAGAATAGTACAGCGAAGCATCAGATCGACCTCAGCCTCCTTGAGAGTGTCGGTAAGCACTTTGGCTTTCTTCTTTTTCTCTTCGAGTTCTTCGGTCAGCTCAGCGAGCTTCCTGTCGAGCATTTTCTTTTCTTCTTGGTTAACGTCACCTTTCAGCTTTGCCAGTTTTGTTTTTAGGAAGATCATCTTGCAATTCTACACACAGCAGGAAACAAGGAAGGAAGGAAGGTTTAACGTGTTGGTATTTCAGCACCAGAGTAGTGAAAGCTGGCTAGCGCACACGTTCGTGTCTGTGCGTGAGTGTATGATTTTTGCTAAGCGTGCCTGGTCACTTATGGTCATCTGGTGTCTAATCAGGTCCTGTTCCAGTTTTCTGAGCTGACTCTCCAGGCTGTTAATGGTGGATTTACTCTTTGAAACCTGCGAGATAAAATCCTTCTCCTTTGTCTTAACGGCCTGCAAACGCTCCTTTTGATGCAACAGCTCCTCCCTGCAGTCACGCAGCTGGACATCCAAGTCCTGCAGCACAGCACAAGCAAAGGGTTACACAGCAGGTCTGAGGCACCGAGCTCTGAGTCTGCTCATCTGGGTTCTAGCAGGTGAATTATTAAAAAACCCAAATTTTAAAAAGTGAAATTGAAATCATGCTACTTCTGACTAAACCATGTGATCATCTCGATTCTATTACATCACTGCAATTACAACAGACCTTTAATGAGCCTTGAGGTTTCTGCAGCCTTCACTTGTATGGTGTTAATATATCAGTACAATCAGTATATTTAGTTCATGCTATTTAAATAACACTGTTTTATAGTTTTGTAAAAGGTTTTTCTTTTTCTTGTATGTCTTATTCATGCCATGAAAACAAAACCAACACAATAACGAGTGTAGGCAGAAATCCTTAGACAAAGTTCTTATTCTGTGCACAACAGTTCTCTTCTACCTGGATCAGATTTGGCAGCTCACCTTGATGGCCTGTTCCTCATCCTTAAGAAACTGATCCATCTGTGCAGCTCTCTCCTCCTCACTAAGGGCTGTCTGAGTCACCACCTTCAGCTTCTCGTCCAGTGCAGCGTTGTATGCCCTAGCCTGCCTGAGTCTACAACACAGACACACACACAGGCATGTATATGCATATATATTTAACAAGCTCTGCAAAAAGGCGCAGATTTATTAGATCACCTCTAAAAACAAAAAACACAAATATTTTAGACATTGTCAAAAAGTTGTTGAAAACTAAAAATGATATTGTTATTTTTTAGGCAAATAATAAACAGTATTCATGTTTTTATACCCAAATATGAGCGGGCACACTGGACTTCTCTAAGAGGTCAGAAAATAATTAATAATCAACCACTCAAACTATTTTTTCTGTTCAGTAAATAATTGTAATTTGCCATCTTCATCAAATAATAATAATAATAATGTGCTTTACTGTTTTCTTTTGTTTTTTTATTACATTTTGATCATTTAAAAAAAGAGCTTACGCATACTGGTGGATTAACTGTTACAGAAACAATAAAAAATGATTTTCATAATTACCACTACAGTTAATTGGGGGCACTGGGTGCCAATCTACCTGGCATGTGTAAAAAATTAGTTCTTCCCCTTTTTAAATTATGAATTAACTGTGATTAACCTCATTATTTGGAAAGCTGAGTCCAATTTCACTCACCACAATCGTGCCTGATTACTGGCAGAGCTGTTAAATCAACAAATTGCTTAAACAGAAGCCATTTCTTAGGCTTTGGGCCTCCAGTGAACCACAGTCAGAGCCAACAGCCACAAATGGAGAACAGTGGTGAACTCATCCAAGAGGTCACAAAAGAACCAGAACAACATCTAAAGAACTGCAGGCCTCACATGTCTCAGTTAAGGTCAGAGGTCACGATGCAACAATAAGAAAGAGACTGGGCAAAAATGGCACGTATGGGAGAGTTCAAGGATAAAACCACTGCTGACCAGAAAAACCCACAAAGGCTCTTCTCACATTTGCCAAAAACATCTTGATGATCACCGAGACTTTTGGGAAAATATTCTGTGGACTGACAAGACTTTTGGAAGCTTTCTGTCCTGTTAAACTAACACAGCATTTCCTAAAAGAACATCATACCAACAGTCAAACATGGTGGTCGTAGTTTTAACTTTTTACGTTTATAAATCTGCATTTTGTATTTGCTTCAATTATGTTTGTCTAATATTAAAACTTTTTTTGATGATTGGGAAATGTGTGTGTATGGGGAAAAAGAGGCCATATAGTACAGTATACATGCAGTACATGGGAAAGAGGTAAAACATCACAGTGCTATTTTATAGGCAGGGATGTGTCGTAAGATTACACTGACTTGTCATTTTTATCCTGGATGTCTTTCTTCATTCTGGATATCTGGGATGTCAGGGACTCCACGTCAGAGGTTGTTCTGTCCAGTGTGTTTTTGCAGGTATTCAGCTGCAGGACACAAACATGAGCATTGACTGACAAGCTCTTAGAACATGAAGCTACTACTCCTTTACATACAGCACAGTTTGAGGAACTGACCTCATCCTGCAGCCTGCTGCAGTTACTCTCCTGCTCCTTCAGATCCTGTCTCAGTTTTGCTCCCTGTCGGTTGGCGAGAGTTATCTTCCTCTCAGTTTCCTTGTTGTTGCTCCTCTGAGTATCTAGCAAGTTCTTCCTCTCTGTTACCGTGGCATTCCTTTCCCTCATAGCCTGGTTCAACTGGGCAACTTGCTGGAATGATAAAGGAACAACACAGGTGTTACTCACATGTACTTCAATGTTAATTCACATATTCTTGGCTTTCCTTCATGTCTTTTATCAGCAGAAGTGTAAATCCCCATGTAAATGACCACGGCAGACCCAGTGGCATTTTGATCATCTTTATTTTACCGGTTGCTGTACACACAGACACAGAGCTGCAGCTCTCCCGCTGCCAGCGCAACATAACAACAACAACCACATTCACCAAAACTCCAAACTTTTTAGCCGGCGTGGCGTGATTGCATATGCCGCGCAGATGGGTCAATCGCACCTGCAGCAGCAAACCACGCCCCACCACACCGTACACTTTACCAGAGCACACTGCTGCATGTCTTCATCCCGTTGCATCATCTGCTTGATAGTGTTTTCCCACTGGTGGATGAGTTGCTGGGCCTCCAGGTGTGCCTGCTGCAGATTCTCTGTAGTCTTATCCAACGCGATCTGTTTGGACAGGAAAGGAAGCAGCAGTCATCCTGAAGGAGGTTTTTGTAGCTGCTTTGGTTTGTCTGCTGAGAATCAGTCTCACATTACCTGAGCAGATAAAGTCTCAGTTGACTCTTTGACCAGTGCTCTTTGCTTTTCTTTGGCTTCCAGTGTCTTCTTCTCTATAGCCAGAGTGAGTGACTATATGAGGAGAGATCAGACAGTTGTTAGCAGAGAGTGAAAACAGCTTGATCATCCATATTCCAGAATTTATTTATTTGTTTTTAACCTTGATCTTCTGCTCGTCCTGCTGAGCATACTTGATGATGGCCATTGTGTCCTCATCTTTACGCGCCGACTCCTCTAAAAAGGCATCCATGGTCTGCTTGTCCCAGTTCATCTGCTCCATAAACTCATCCAGCTTCTGTTTGCCCTTGAAGATGTGGTTCTGGCAAGATGGGCAAAAGTTCAGAAGGTCGTTTTGGTACCAACAGCTAAACTAAGCCAAATCCTGTATATGATGTGTATATACAGATGTTTATATACACAGACCTCTATCATGTCTTTCCTCTCTGCTAAAGACTTGAGCTCTTTCTCCATCTCAGCAGCCTCCTGAGCCTGGCGACCGTTCTCTCTATCTGAGAGAGCTGTCAAGTGTTTCTCAAACTCTTCCTCTCTTTCCTTTGCCTTGCATAGAGCCTGTGAGCAGAAAAAACATCAGAATAACAAAGTAACACGCCATGACACAGTAACTACAAGCCAGTTACAAAAGTCTCACACACGACACACACTGGTACGACAAACGGTAAATTCACAATATGCTCTAATAATCTCACCTCAGTGTTATCCAGCTCTTGTTTGGCATTCTTTAAGTATTCAGTCATTATCTTCTTGTGATCTTTATTTCTCTCAAGCATGTGCTCCAGCTCCAGCAGCTCCATCTCTTTTCTGCGAATCTGTTGTTGAACAAGTTACCAGATAATGTAACACAAGAATGTTTGAACAGGGCTAAGCAACACTTAGCCACCTACCAATTTTTTGAAAAACCTTAGGACTTGTGAACTCAGGCACTGCTACAAAGTGGTCTACATCAGGGATGTCAAGCAAATGAGGCCAGAAACAGCCTATTGGAAGGCTCTGGTTACAGCTGTCAGGGGGTTCAAGTCTATTCCAGCTGCAATAGGGTAAGAGGCTGCGCAGACCCTGGACTGATCAACAGGGCTTGTTTGAATTATAATCACTAAAAATACAGGTACAGAAACTCCACATTCGTCCTGTGCTTTGTAAAGTGAAGGCTAGATGTACTGACAAAAGACTGAAAAATATAATAATAATAAAATATATAAAAAGCATAATGTATAAAGTGGTCTGACCCTTCTGGTCTAGATACTTACAGCGTCAATATAGCCCCAAAACAACCATATTCTCTATTACATTGTGCACCGTATATACGATATATATATTCTGGCGTTTTTGTCGTAAAGTCAGAGAGGACGCAAACACCTGACAACAAAGCATGAGACCCCAAGCAGAATTTATTTTACGTTGTGAGCATTACAGTCATTCAGAGGCTCGTTCAGAGATCCCGGATTCCTCTGTTAGATTTGTTTGACACTTTAGATTACTTCACTTACTAAAACTATTTGTTTAGCGGTGAGTTAAACAGTTACTACTTTCCCACACTCACCTCCTCCAGCAGAGCCTTGTTTTCAGCGTTGGGCTCGGGGATAGCAAAGTGCTCATCCCAGCCTGTGTCAGGCAGAGCTGTGTTAGTGCTAGACATCTTATTCTGATTAAGACAGCCTTTCTGAGGGGGTTAAAGTAATACTTATTTCCACTAAGATAGTGTCAACTCCAGCTTTTAGCTGTTCCGCTGTTGCCGTCTGTTGTCAGTCGCCCGTAGCAACCACGCATCCATATAAACGCGTCAACGGAAGTAAATAACGCGAGACTACAGTGAAACAGCGAGCACCCATAGAAGTACACTTGAATATATGAAATGAAGTTTGAATATGTAGAATGAAACTTGCATATAAAGAAAATGATCTTCTGAATTAACTAAATGAAAAGTGACGTCAAATTTGTTTCCATTTTTATCACTTCTCTTCCTCTTTGAGATGTGCTTCAGCTTCTGCTTGAATTGCCATCTCAGTTGACATCTCCATCAGTGATGTTAAAAGAATAATACAAAATCCAATGACCCGTTTCAACTAAGCATATTATAGCCTACCTCTCTAATTCTCTAACTGATTAATTACTATTTTAGGAAACAGCTGTATGAGAATCAGTTTGATTTACCTAAAACCACAGGTCCGTTAAGTTGTAACAACCTCAAACTTAAAGAAGCTTCTAATAGTTATGGGGACATTAACCTGCCGATCATAAAACATGGCATCACATATCAAATTTGCTCCTTAATGTAAATATTTAAAAATCAGCCAATCACATAGTAGCAACTCAATGCATTTTATCATGTAGACATGGTCAAGACAGCCTACTGAAGTTAAAACTAAGCATCAAAATGGGGACTAAAGTGACTCTCAATGCGACATGTCTGTTGGTGCCAGACAGGCTGGTCCGAGCATTACAGAAACTGCTGATCTACTGAGAAAATATCCAGTGAGCAGCAGTTCTCTGCCTCGTTGAAGTCAGAGGTCATGGGAGAATGGCCAGATTGTTTTCAGCTGATAGAAAAGCAACAATAACTCAAATAACCCCTTGTTACAACAAAGGTGTACAGAAGAGCAACTCTGAACATACAGCACATCTAGCTTTAAACTACATGAGCTACAGCAGCATTAGACCACAGCAGGTGCCTCTCGTCAGCCAGTAACAGGAAATTTTGGCTACAGTTCAATGAGAAAGACTGCCTGGACTCAAACTGGTTTCATGAACACCACAATGAGTTCACTGTACTCAAATGACCTCAACTCAGTCCAGTGGAATGTGGTGGAACAGGAGATTCTCATCATCAAGCCAGCAAATCTTTGTCATGCCGTCATGTCAATCCTGATGAAAATCTTCGAGGAATGTTTCCAGCACCTTGTTGGATTTGTGCCATAAAACATTAAGACATTTCTAAAGGTTAATGAGGGTATTTGGCAATAAACCAAACAGAGACTGACTTTCAATGTCTCATTTTCTCTTTCTAAGTATAAATGCACAGAGGCTTGGCAGCTTTAAAGAGACCAAACTGAATTATTTATTTTATCCTTACGCATTCATGTTTAAACAAACAGCATTATGATTTAAAAAATTACAATCAATGTTTGATACTGACTTGTAACACAAACATATCATAAAACCAAACTCAGGAAATGCACACTAGTATTAAAATTCAGTATTTAAAGAACGACATCCTCTTTGCAAACCCTTGTGTTTACATTACAGTTCAAGTGTGTATCTCTACCTGTATCGGAGTGCAACCACATCAGAGACCCACGTGGGATCAAATGGAGACTCCTCTCTAGTTGGCTTGAGCGCACACAAAAGCCCAATACTTTAGATAAAAGTTTCAAACTATCACGTGTTAACTAACAAACGGATATGCCTTTTGTACATACACATAATATATATAAAGTCTCTGCTGTGTAAAATATTTCAGTCCTGAGGGTTGAAAAGGCAACATAGTTCCCAGCTCAGCGTGACTCCACTGTCCTCCAGTCACTGATTTTGTAGAAACCTCTCATGGCTGTTACTTCAGTGAGAGCGGACCTTAAACTGCAGTGCTTTTGGTTCCGATGTGTGGTCGCGCAAACTCCACAAAATCGTCAATAAGGACGGGCCACGCTCCTATCGAAGAAGCAAAACAGATTCAGCGATTTGACTCTGAATAACACGTTTCAAGACATGACTGCCAACGAGAAATCTACAAACCTTCCTCGTCGTAATTCGACATGTCGTCCGTGATCATCGTGCTGAAGTCTAGTAAGAGATTCCAAGTGTCCTTAGGAATCGATCTTTTATGGTGTTCCTGCAAAGGATGAGGAGCAAAGTTTATTTCTGAGAAACGATGATACCTGCGTACTTAGCATAGCCTTGTTATGATTTATTTATTGTAAACTTACAACTAAAAATTTGTTCCACAGGTCCAGGAACTTGAATCTTCCCGGGAGAACTAAATTCCAATATGCAATTGCCATTTCTAAATCTGTAAGAAAAACAGTATTCAATCAAAAGAAATTCAACCAAGAAAACAAAAACAGCCAATGAGCATTAAAAGGATTCTTACCCAAACCTTTCTGGCCAGGATTCTTTGCAAAATTAAATGTAAACTGGTAGAAGTCCTTAAATTTCCTTGAGTCCTTTAATTCTTGCTCTATCTTAGGCAGCTGAGCTTTTAGCTTCTCTATGCTGTCACACCTGCAGAAAGATAAAAAACAAAACAAAACACTGTTGCTGTCCAGTGGCTAAAAATGAAGCGGCAAAATGTAGCAACTGGTTTATGTCTGACAAAGTCCAAGCAGACCCTGGAGCCTTTACAGTTGTGATTTTATAGCATAAAAATGTAAATTATCACAGAACTTTACTTTGGTGTCGCCGTTTCCAGAAAAGTTGGGGCAGTGTGCAAAATGTAAATAAAAGCAAAATATAATAATCATCAGAATCGTTTCAGCCCCACATGAAACTTATGTACGAGGGCAACCCCAAAAGTAAGGTCTCCTATTGTTTTCGAAATACATAGGAAATACAAAACAGGAGACCTTACTTTTGGGATTGGCCTCTATAAGGAGGATCGGATCAGATCAGATAAAGACTGATATTTCTTATTACTTTTTGAACAATATGCTCATTTTTATTTATTTAGTTGTTTATCTTTAGCACAGTAAAAAAAAACAACTTAAAAAAAATGGGTCAGACCAGAAGAACAAAGCTAGAAAATCTTTGCAACCCGCAAAACACCACCTGGTGGAACAGCTCCCAGCTAACTAACATGATTGTGTGCAAAAGGCTCCCATGAGCCACATTAGAGCATGCGGAAGGGATCACTTGCACATCTGTGAAGGCACCGTTAACGCTTAACGCTACGTGAAGGTTTTGGAGCAACATATGCGGCCCATTCAGATGTACGGACATTGAATAAAGGCGTGGCTAAGATTGATCAAGCACAAGTTGTTGTGGTCAATAGACACATCCTGGACAATCGTCCATTCTGACACTAAAATTGACCAAAATTTGCAAAAAAGACTCAATGCTTTATTCAGTATGACCTGAAATGCTAAATGCTAAGCCCATGAGCTTAGCAGAAACTTGTTTCCAGAAGTCCAAGTAGAAAGCTGTTTTTCCACATGGGACCAGAACTTCTCTTGTAACACATCTATCGCCCCCTAGAGGCCATTAAAAAGAATGCAGGTTTTTCAGACCAGGAAACTGCGACCGTTTTTTATACTACGTTCAGATGACAATTTTTACAGGAAAGGAATTTTTTTTCACTTCAAAAATGTCAACCCACAGTCAGCACGTACTGCATTAACATGAAGCGAGAGCTGAAGAGCACTAACGGTGACATAAAAAGAGGCGATGCAACACAGTGAGAATTATGCCTCTGTGCCAAAATCTTTGATATGTGATGCTGATATCAAATTTGATATTATTCAAAAAACAAAAAAAACAATTAAATTTGTTACTACTCAACCTCTAGTGTGATGTCTTTTTCTATTTTTTTAGGAAATACAGCATTTAAAAACTTTTCAAATCTAAATTCTGTTTTTATTTACATTTACTGTGCTCAAACAATTTCGGAAATATGTTTACATCTTTCTCCAAATAAAAATCACAAAATAAGCATTTTTAAATGAATACGTGCATTTGCACAACAATCCACCCCATCAGTCTTACTTAAAGTTACACCAGTGTTTGAATGATTGTTGCACATCACACATAGGAACACAGTTTGCCCCCCTCTTCTTTTACCATCTGAAAATGTTTTTCTCACCCCTGTTCTGTCATGCCTTCCATGAACTCCTGTTTCGAGAACTCGCATTGCGTTGCTGCCCTGAACTTCCAGGCGATGAGAAGGACGCTTATACTGGCTGGGTCCAAACCCAAGTCGTCACAGAATTGCTGGATCCCATCAATGCCTATTTTGTTGTCGTCATGAGGATCTAAGAACAAGAAAAATGAATTAACTGATTAACCATTCAGAGTATTAATTTCAGTCCTGTGCTGTGTATACAATTTCTAACCAATGGAAACATTATAGCGGTGCTTTTTCTATACCTCTGTATCTGTTATACAGCTGCTCAAGCTTCTTCTTGTCTAAGGCCCCCTTTAGATTTGAAATGTAGAGCTCTGGACTTTGGAAAAACTTATCTGTGGCAACATCTAGCTTCCAGTCATTCTGTGCCAGGCAGGTCACTGCAGTCTTCTCACTGGATTGTGTAAAAATCATGAACTGGCGAACTTTATCCTTCTGCGAGGACTTCAGCTTGTTCTGCACAGACACAACACACAGGGCACATACTCAAATAGCCAAAATACACAAATAGCTGAAGGTATGAGGCAGCAACAACAATATGGAGTAATTTTTTCACGTATTAATTCCCTGTGCGACTTGCACAGAATGGGAGATTACAATAACACTGCAAAGCGTACCATCTGAATTTTCACACAATAACCTAGGGCTGCTCAATTAATCACATTTTAATCTCAAATACGATTTTAGCCTCCCACAATTAAATGAATGTGACTTTGCAAATACTGAAATGTGTGCTTCACCAACAAAACGCAGAGCAAAAGCAAATCAAATGCTCACTAAATCAGCACCTGACCGCGTGCCTGTGTGTCTCAATTATAACTGTTACCTTATAACAGTAATATAGTCTGCACATCCATGCAGCTCACAAAGACACGCTGACATCAACAGCCAATTAAGATTCTATTTGGCCAAATATTTCTGTCCACTAAACATAGTGAGTAGTAAAGGCTTCAGGTAAAGGGTAAACATACAGGACAAACAAAAGATTTATCTCCTTTATTTACTTTCCTAAAGTGGCAATGCTGCTAGAGATAGGATCTCCCATATGTGAAGTACACTGCTTCGAGTTTTATTCACATCCATCATGCAGGTACACTGAATGGAGTGAGAAACTTTAGATTTTGCTTATAGGCAATGCACATGGGCCAGGTGAATAAAGACCTGATGTCTCTGCAAAGACTAATTTATAAAGTTGAATTAACAGGGATGTAGCACAATGTAAATGTGAAAGAAGTGCACTGATGATTTAAGTTTGTATTAAGTTTTGGTACAGCGTTTTTCCTTCTCTGAGGCGCACTAAATTCAGGTGACTTTTGTATTTTGATACAAAGATATGAAGGCGGTGTCTTTACGTGGCACTGCAATAAAAACAATTCTGTAATTGAAAAAATTATAAATAATCGTCATCTCAGTACTGAACGAAATAATCGTGCCGCTCTTCAATAACCACAAAGGGTAGGCTAGCTGTTAGCTACAGTGAACTCTGGCGAAACACATCTAAATCACAGTAAGAGGGAACTAGCAGCGATATGCTATGCTGATTGCATTTACCGACTTCTAGTGTATTGACTGGCGGTTTCCTTGTCTTAATATCAATACTACTGATAAAGTTACGCATTCCACACGACAACGATCTAAAAGTTGTCATTTTATGTGTTTAAATGATAGCAATCGTAGTTAGCTCACTGTGCTTGTTGGATAGCCCCACTGTGAGCTACTTAGCTAATGCTAAAGGAGAGGGGGCTGTTTGTTTTCATTATTTCAGGCGAATTTAAGGTATTAAAAGCAGTTTTAATACTATGATATGAATCCGAAGAGATGTGTTTTTATACGTTTATGTGAATGGGTACATGTTATATTTGCCCCTACAAACAATAATAAAATAAAATAAAAAAGAGTAATTTCATACCATGTTTGTCACTGCCGGGCTACTCTTCCTCCCATCCAGCTGGCTTAGTGCCCGTAAAGTTTTTACAAGTCGCGTAAAAAGTTTTTCCGGTTGAATCACAGCTCTTCAAAATAAGAGCATACAATTTATAGCCTATAACCTATACAACTTCCAGAAGTGTTAATTATCGATTTTTGTTCCTTATCAAACATAAAATACATATCTAAAGATATTTAAGCAAAACAAATTTAAAGTTCGTTCTACGTTTTGAAATAGCAACAAGTGTTTGTTTTTTTTTATTTTGAAGCAAGTTATCGGAAACGACTCGACGATTCATCCAAAGAACCTCGTTCTTCAATGTCCGACATACAAACAAGTCTCTGGATGTTTACAGTTGTTTTGCGAAGATTTCAGAACAAATGGAAGTCCTACCGACACAGGTTTGTGCCTTGGGTAGTCTTCAACCTGTCTAAAAATGAGAAAACACTGCGGAAGGTGACTGAGCGCTCGAAAGATAAGCTAGTCCCCGATGAGGAGGTTTCACGGAGCCTGCTGACGCTCTTCAGAGCCCTGTTCAGGAAACATGGGTTTCATCAGACGCAGTTCCAGACTCCATTTATGCTGCAGCTAACAAGTGAAGCAGAGCAGGTTGGAGGAGATCCGGTGTGCGGACAGGATGCCATGTTACAGACACTGGGATTCTGCATTGAGCGGAAGCCTAGCACTTTATCCTTCGCAGGAACTGGAGTCTTTGTCACCAAGGGATTTGTACCCAAAGGAGCAACAGTTGCAATGTATCCCGGAACTGTTTACCAACCCTATGAGCCCATTCTTCTTCAGTCCATCAGAAACCCCTTTGTTTTCAGATGCATTGATGGCATCCTGGTTGATGGAAATGACAAAGGCATCTCTAGGATGGTGTTCAAGTCGTGCAGTGGAAGAGACAGAATAGGTCCTTATTTGACCAGCGACACAAGCTGGCTGACAGACACTCCCCATAACCCCCTGGCTGTGGGTCAATATGTGAACAACTGCTCCTACGAGAGGCCTGCCAACGTGTGCTACCAGGAGTACGACCTGCCAGACAAGTTTCCCATTGAGCTCCGCCAGTATCTCCCCAACGTCAACTACAGCCAGGGTACACAGAGGCGTCTGCGGTGTGTTGTGCTAGTGTCGCTCAGGGACATTTCAGCAGGGGAGGAACTCTTCTCTAACTACTACACCATTGTGCATTAATATAGTTTCCAAAAGCCTGCATCTGTGAAATTCAAACCATATCTCCACTGTATTTAATTAAAGAAAAAAAAGGAAAAATCCAACCGCTCCCTTTGTACACTGGAACAAAGGCAAAGCTTTTTGTTGTTGGTTGCTTTAACAGAGCAATTTTGTAACATTTGTGGATGAATAAAGTATTTGTAATCTTATTTGACATGTGTACCACAACCTTTTCATTGTTGATAAGACAGTAATTTCACTTAATATTAAGTATATGAATTATGGTACCCTACTTACTTGTGGTTTGTGGTTCTAGCAGAAAAGAAAGAATGAAGTTTCCCTCTTATTGGCTGAGTCAAAAGTCATCACAAATGCTGGTTTAAGAGTGGTGCGCTGATACTGCTGGATGGTCCATAGAGTTGCTCAAATGTTTTAGCTAAAAGCTTAACTTCAATCAAATGACCCAACAGTGGGACAGAGAACTCCCTTTTAACAGGAAGAAACCTCAGGCAGAACCAGGCTCAAGGAGGAGCGGCCATGTGCCGTGAGGGGAGGAAGACAGGACAAAAGACACACTGTGGGAGAGAGCCAAACATAAAAATAACTATTGATTAAATGCAAAGTGATGTATAAACATATAGAGAGTGTGAAGAATAAACAGTCAGTGAAGTGTAACTAAGGGAAGGTTTGGGGTTAGTTATCCAGCCCTTACTATAAGCTTAATCAAAAAGTAGAGAGCATGTCTGTCCCGTTCCACAGAAGAGGGGCCTTTAAGCTAAAGGCTCTGCCTCCTATTCTACTAAATATCCCAGGAACCACAAGTCTGAGAGCAAAGTGCTCTGTTAGGGTGATATAAGGTCTTGAAGATAAAATGGGACCCGATTATTCAAGATCTTGTATGTAAGGAGAAGAATACTAAATGTGAGTCTACATTTAACAGGTAGCCAATGAAGAGAAGCTGATATGGGAGAAATATGCTCTTTCTTTTTCTAACAATGCAAGCACGACTACCAGAGATCAAATAAAACCTGGCCATTAAAACAGCTTTGCTGTAGGGGAAGGCTTAAATATACAGAATCTAAATTTGTTTTTTAAAGTAAACAAGGATATTATATCCAGTCACGTGAGTGTGCCTCACAATTGATTATTATTGTATGCTTCTCTCATATTTAGAGAATAATCCTCTAAATATGTATTATAATAATAATAATCTCATAATAATCTAGTTAACATTGTCTAAACCAGAGTAGAGTCCAAGGTCTTCCAAGTAAATCAGGAACTTCTCCAAGAAGGTGAAACGTGGAAAGTAGAGAGGTGACACAGGGAGAAAATGGTTGTGTTAGCTCAGCTAAACTGGGTACTTTATCAAAGCAAGTCTCTGACTCAGTGGAGACTAATTGAAGCATTATCTAACTGAACTTTCATCTCAAAGGTCACCAGGAGATAAAAACTGCATGTATAGACTCTCCAGTCAAATCAGATTTTTTTTTTTAAATCAAGGCTTGTTAACTTTTACCCTAAAATAAGTACAACCAATCTTAGATGTCAGTACTTTCCAATGTCCTTTTTTCATAAGTCTTTGAGTGTCTCCTCTGTGTAACGTCTCTGATTTCTGGAATAAAGAAACACAAGAGACTGACAGAGAATTAGTTCGTACAAACTGTCAGTTGCTTAAGTCCAGCAGGTAGCAGAAATCTACTGAATGATATGCCAAGAAGAAGCCTTCTCCAGATTTCTCCCCACACTTTCCCCAAAGCAGTTATTGTTATGACAAGTTTGCCTGTCCAGTCAGCTTTCCTTACAATATGCAAGATACCACTTCTATATCTGTCACTCCACATATGGAAGTGACTGTGTACTTTAATTGTTTAAACCTGCCTCAAGCACTACACATAACTGATAAATATGGAACAGCAAGTGTGTCAAAGACACAGAAACTGCAGCATTGTCCCTTTTTAAACTCTATACCAATTAAAAGTTATTTAATAATCACACTTGGACAGCAAAGCCTCGGTTAGCTCTGCCTGTGTGGTAGTAAACTTCATTTTATTTCTTGGACCCCGCTTGCATGGGCCTCATGCAAACCTTCTCTCCAAAAATGTTGCACAACACTTGTCAGAGCGAGTTTTGACCTATCAGAGACACGGTAGCGAGCCCGAGCACCCACTATTACTGCAATATCCTTCCGCCGAGGAATATAGTCTGGAACAATTTTAACATTTTATTGTTTATCTAAAGATATATTTGAACACAACAAGTAGTGTGTTAAATAAAATGTGATTCAAACATTAAGTCAGTCAACTAATATTTTATTGTCAGCCAAATTGGGCACTGAGTTTGTCGGTGAAAATAGTCCGGCTCCATAAATGCAGTTGTATTCTCGAGCGGCGATCTTTCCACTCGCATGCTGAAGTTGGGAACGGATCATGTCTAGCGATTCTGCTGATTACAACAGGTAAGAGAATACGTTTGGGCGAGTTTTTTTTTTAAAACGACGCTGAATATTTATCTGCGTCTAACCTTGCGAAAGTGGTTTGCAGTTAGTGTTATGCAAAATTGGTTATTAAATAGCTAACTAGGCCCCAACCGCTGGGGCTAACTGTTAGCTATGTGACGCTAGCTGCTCCGTTACACACCGTAGTTCCAAACTGCTTTTAAAAGCATTCTGCTTTAAATGTTTAATATTTGGCCACGTCATACTCAAAGTATACCAGGACTTTGTAGTGATTAGTAGAACCCTTTGTTAACTATTGTAGCTGGGGATTATCCAAATTGAGAGTCGTCGGTCCAGGCTGCATGTAGGCCTCAGAAGAAGCCACCGTTGGCAGTACAGGCCCAACTGTCCGACATATTGGCTAACGGTGAGCGAAGCGGAGCTCCATGTTGAGGTACATCCAACGTGTACAGATGTAATTTTAATCTTGAGTTACCGGGGACCACAGTGGGTATAAGGAGCCAGCCTCAAATCTTTGGAGGTTACGTAAGCGGCCATTTTATGAGGGACTAGCAGTGGACCCCGGCTCGTGCAATTTGACACGTGCGCTCAGTGAACCTCCAGACTGTGGAACTAGATCGCTGGGGCGTAACCCAGGCTACGATTGACTATCTCACTACATATCTAACGTAATTTCTGTGTTTTAGTTTCTCACCCTGAGCGCGAAATAGGCGGTCTTATTGTTGGAGATGAGTGGGCAGCAGGCCTTCACATTAAATGACGCCTGGAAGAAACGACCGCTGTAGCATGCGTTCAGTTTATTTTTAAGGTCACATTTTATGTAAAAATTGAAGAGTGTTTCATTTCCAACAGCTCAAGAGATAGAGACCATGGGGGACCAGATGGAATGGAGCCTGATGGTGTCATCGAGGTAAGTAGTATGGCGAAATACAAGCACTGGCACTATATTTTTGGCTGTAACTGGATCATTGAAGTACTAATTCACCCATGTACTGTCTTTCCCAAAATTCAGAGCAACTGGAATGAGATTACGGACAACTTTGATGATATGAACCTGAAGGAGACTCTTCTCAGGGGCATATACGCATATGGTTTTGAAAAACCATCTGCCATTCAACAGAGGGCCATCATCCCTTGCATCAAAGGTACAGATACTTTTCTTTTTAAACTCAGAATAGGATTGTAGATGTTTGAGTGAAATGATGGTCTACCATCTTTCGGGACTTACCCAAAACATGGGGATAACTTTGTTTCATGCTGATCACTCAATACTGTAAAATGATTAGTTAATGAGTCAAATCTTGCAAAGGATGATTTTGTTGTTTAGCCTGTTTCTGTTTTGAGAAACAAATATATGTACTTAAAATAATTTTTTCCCCTTACTGTCAGGCTATGATGTCATTGCTCAGGCCCAGTCTGGAACTGGCAAGACAGCCACATTTGCCATCTCTATCTTGCAGCAGTTGGATATTGAGCAGAAGGAGACTCAGGCTCTGGTTTTGGCTCCGACTAGAGAGCTGGCTCAGCAGGTATGCTGTTCCTGAGGTCACCATAAACCTCAGCAGTACCTCAGACCTAAGCAGCGTACTGAGGACACTAATTCAGATCCTAAGGTACAATCTTTTAAAGATTTGTTCAAATTCCAAAAGATTTGACGAGTATCTTCTTAAGCTAATGTAGTCTCTGTCCGTGGCTACATTGGTCTGAAAGGTGAAATGCTTTCGAATTTTTCTGTGAAAAACTGAGTGATGTGATGGCATACCATCTTTCGGGACTGACTCTTAAAATGGAGAGTTTCTTTTACTCTACTGATCGCTTTAAACAGTTTTTCTGCAGTTTGTGAGTCTTGTCTGGCTCTCTGTGCCACATTATCTTAAACAAGTTCTTCTGTCCCATCTCCCCTTCTTAGATCCAGAAGGTAATTCTGGCTTTGGGTGACTACATGGGGGCAACCTGCCATGCCTGCATTGGAGGGACCAATCTCCGTAGTGAAATACAGAAGCTCCAGGCCGAGGCCCCTCACATAGTGGTGGGCACACCTGGACGTGTGTACGACATGCTGAACAGGAAGCACCTGTGTAAGTATTACAGGTCCTGCTTACTGGAAGCTCGGATTGGTGATATGTTTGCTAACAAACATGACATTTCTCTGCAGCTCCAAAATGGATCAAGATGTTTGTTCTGGATGAAGCCGATGAGATGTTGAGTCGCGGCTTCAAGGATCAGATCTATGAGATCTTCCAGAAACTGAGCACAAACATTCAAGTAAGAAACCAACGCACACCAGAGAACAAATAAGATGCCCTTCTGCATCAACAGAGGTCTGCTATAATTGTGTGATCCAGATTTTCTGTTTCATGCAATGATGATAGCAGATTTTTACGTGGAAGCAGATTATTGTGCACTTGACTGAAAATGAGATGTGGTCGAACCTCTTTCTTAATGTTCGTTGGCTGCAATCTCAAGGTCAAGTGCCACAATTGGCATTGTCTTTTAATACGCTTGTAACAAATTTTATGTTGATTTTTTTTTTTGGGGGGGTGGTGTAACATGTAGTGCTGCTTCTTCAGGTGGTCCTGCTCTCAGCCACAATGCCAGCAGATGTGTTGGAGGTAACTAAGAAGTTCATGCGAGATCCCGTTCGCATCTTGGTGAAGAAAGAAGAGCTTACCCTTGAGGGTATCAAGCAGTTCTACATTAATGTGGAGCGAGAGGTTGGTAAGATTTCTGCTGATAATCTTGTACCACTGTGAATGTTTTAATTTCCCTTCTCTCTAAAGCACCCTGCTGAAACTGCAGGAGCCAAGCCTCACAGGTTTAGCTCATGTGGCCGTGTAAGCATGGGTACACCAGAGAAGGAGATCAAAGGCATGGTATTGGAAATGAGGCTAGGAGGGACCTCTTTCTTAATGTCCAGTTTCCTTTGTCTCGAAATCCTGTGTTACACAATAGCTGCTCCTCATTTAACATGGAAGTGGGGTAGATGTTAAACTACAGGATTCTGCTGTGACTTCATGTTGATGTTTTTCAGTTAACAGTGCTTTACATCTCATAACCTCGTGTTTGTTTCCAGGAGTGGAAGTTGGACACTCTCTGTGATCTGTATGAGACTCTGACAATCACACAGGCTGTGATCTTCCTCAACACCAGGAGGAAAGTCGACTGGTTGACTGAAAAGATGCATGCTAGAGACTTCACCGTCTCTGCTCTGGTATGACACGTCCTCTCCCTGCTTGAATCTTATGTTGGTGCAAGCAAATGCTTTTGCTCATCAGTATTAATCTATATTTTCCATTTGCAGCACGGTGACATGGACCAGAAGGAGCGTGATGTAATTATGAGAGAGTTTAGGTCTGGCTCAAGCAGAGTGTTGATCACTACTGATCTTCTGGTAAGTGTGAGGTGTATGAAGGGTCAAATGATCATCTGTGACGTTACAACCCAAAATGTTTTTAATCCTGCAAAAGTCCTGAAATGACCAAGCAGTCAAAACTTTTGGGAGATTAGGGCTCGTTCTCCACAATGGGTTCTTTTAACGTAGGAATCTGTTACTTATTCGCGAGCAACATTAATAATATGCAGTCTTCATCAGTCTGTCTGTTAAGGAGTTAAATTAAACATGTCTTTTTCTCCCCTCCCACACCAGGCTCGTGGAATTGATGTACAGCAGGTTTCCCTGGTCATTAACTATGACCTTCCCACAAACCGTGAGAACTACATTCATAGGTGAGTTGAGTTTCTTTGGAAGAATGTGCTCTGTTGTTGCCTCTGAGTCTAACATGGTCCAATTTTCCTCCACAGAATTGGTCGCGGTGGCCGTTTTGGCAGAAAAGGAGTTGCTATCAACTTTGTGACTGAGGAGGACAAGAGGATTCTTCGTGACATTGAGACGTTTTACAATACAACCGTGGAGGAGATGCCTATGAATGTGGCCGACCTGATTTGAGCCCTGAGATTTTTCTTTTTGTTTTAAACGCAGTGATAGCGATTGTCCACTTGCATTGTGCTTATTATTCGAGGGGGGAAAAAAACTTCTCAATGCTAAACCTTCGATCAGAATTTTGGTATGTGTTAAAAGCGAGGTGACTTCTTTGGTGGTCCCTCTTGGACAGTTGTAGATTCTGACCTTGACAGTTGATTGGTTGGAGCTGCAAAGCCATGGGGTCTATAAGCATTAAGGTTCTTATCAGGTATTTCTTTCCATGTTCACTTAAGATGCGTGTATTCGATGTTCTCCACCATTTAGTAACTTACTTGTGGACTAAAAGGTATAAGTGCTGTATAAAGTCTGCAAATTATGTTATGCTAACATATGTGCGATGTATCGTGGGCCTGCTTAATAGAGGCTTTTGTCATGTTATACTGTAGGATTCACTTGCTTTTTGTTTATCTTTGTGAATGTGTTTAATTTAAATGTACCATATATATTATTTTTTTTATCCCACTTGCTATATATCAGAATTCCTCACTGGTTGGCTATATTTTGCTGACGTGGTTTTACCCTTACCAGAGTATATTGCCCGTTCCCCTCCTTGACTACTTTTCAGATTTCCTCCTCTTGGATTATATGAATGTCTTAATAAACTTAAGTTAACTTAGAGCAACTTTTGTTTTGGTGTCTGGCTTTATACTGGTTTTGTTTTTTTTTAATAACAGGATTTTTAGAACACTGGTTTAAGTGCTGCAACTGACATTCATAGACATGAAGAGATGCATAGTGGTGTGAGTGCTTGCAGTAGAGCTTATGTAACAACTCCACCTAGTGGTATCCCTGCAGCAAGATGAGCTCAACGTTAGCAGCATAGTACTCTCGTGTTTTAAACTTTAAAATTAGTGAACAAATTGAAATCTATGAGACTCTAGATCAGGGGTGTCAAACTCCAGTCCTTGAGGTCCAGTGTGCTGAAACGGCTGATTAACAATAGTAGGTCATTAGCAAGACTATAGAACTAGACTGCATGCTGAGGTGGCAACCCCTAACCCTGCTCGAGTAATTGTAAATGTAAGTGTTTGGAGAATTGTACTTCAAAAAGTACTTTTATTGCACCAGTACAGTAATATACGCCTGTTTGCACAAGACAATTTTATTATATGAATGTTATTTATTTGAACTGTCATACACAGGATGTAACAAGTGATCAGAACATGGTATATTATTTAATCTTTAAAAAAATGTTTGGAGTGTTCCTATGTACCACTAGAGGGAGCCCACGTACCACCAGTGGTACACGTATCACACTTTGGCTGTGTCCCAATTAAGAGACTGTACGCGCACTACGCGTACTACGTATGGTGCGTACTATAAGTACGAGAAGTGCGGAAGTGGGAGGCTTGTGAAATGGGACGCTTCGTCGCGCTGTTCAGGTTGCCTAGCAACCATGATACTAACCGCGAGACACGTTACAGCTTTGTTTGACAGAAATGAAGGAGAAAAATGTTTTGTTGGTCATTCATTTTTGTCATGACATCACTTTAGTTGAGTATCTGAGGCTGAGACCACGGGACTGTAAAACATGATTGTTGGGCTTAATTTCTGTGCTGAACAGTCATTTAAGATTAGTCAGTAAATAACAATTTTAATGTTGTTCATGAGACTAAAGTCAACTCACTGTGGCAATGTAAATATAATATGGCCAATATTATAGTATTGTCAGATTATTATGATATATATATATATATATATACATATATATATCACTGACTTTCAGCTTGTTGTGTTTGTGGATATATGACTGACTTTAATTATTAAACATTCGCACATAAATAAGTGACGTCATATTCAGTACTTTTGACAGTTCACTCTTCGGCCGCTCCATCTTATTAGGGGAAAATTCAACCTTCATAAATGTAAATTTCAAAACTCAACCCCATCATTTAATTTGTTTTTGATTGAAATTGAATATTACTTAAACTCTCTTAAATTAACTTCCAATAAAAAAGGTTTATCATTGATTGACATTCATTCAGAAATGTTTAACGAATGAGCTGTCACAACTTTCAAATACAAAGTTGTTATGAAGTCTGTCACATTCCCCCCTTTTTTCTTTTTTTTATCCTTTATTTATTTATCCTTCTTATTTCATTGTACTGTATATTGTTACTCTTATTTGCCTTGTATGTCTACTGTACAAACCGAACTGGAATGACTGACTGTTCGCTTTATGATTTCAATAAAGTTTGGGGAAAAAAAACAACCTCAGCCGCTAACTTCTGCCGGACAGCCGTCGTCGCGTGGCGGTGACGTAACCGCACTTAAAATGCGTACTTCAAGCGTGCAGTCTCTTAATTGGGACACAGCCTTTGAGAACCTAAAAGTGTTGAAATGAACTCCAAATACAGGGAAACTATTCCATTTAAATCTACGTCAGATTCTGGTCTTTTTTAATGCTGCATAGTAAATATGTAACAACTTGTGTTGTTTTTTAGTTTTTAAGTGTTTATATTTGTCCACACTCTACCAGGAGAACTTCAAGACATGTTGAGGAGCTAATTTAGCCATTTAAATCAGCTGTGTTGGATCAAGGACACATCTAAAACCTGCAGGACACCGGCTCTCGAGGCCTGGAGTTCCCTACCCCTGCCCTAAACAGTTAATGCAATATGATTGTTAAACCCCTTCAATTAAAGCTTTTACTTATTTCTTTTGCAATGAAAGTTTGTACTTCAGTCAGCTTACGAGCAGACAGTTTATATGAAAGCTGACATAATCACGCCCCATATAAGATAATGAGAGATCAACTCATTCAAATTAGGTCACCAGGAAACATCCCGGTGCTCTTAGGTCACCAGGAAACATCCTGATAGAAAGTCCACTTATAAAAGCGTTCACTGGAAGCTTATTTCCATAGCGTTCCATTGTAGTCCTTTTATTTATAAATTTACACAGGAACATTAGAGATGCAAATATGAGAGATTTTCTCACTTTGTTAACAAAAGACGTCTGTATGGAGGAAAACACGTCAGTAATAATCTACTCTGGCATCAAATGTGTTGGTGTCACCAGAGACAGGAGGGATAACGTCAGCACACATAAAGAGTACAGAAGCAACACATAACAGCAAAAACAAGAATAGGAGCAATTTGTCATTGTATCTTTAGGCACTAGCAGCCTGTCACAAAAACACATGTTTCCATTTCTTTAATTGAATGTAGAACAAAATGCCAAAGATAACACAGTCTGACAGACACAAAATGTTTGCACCAACAATATGATTTCCAAAAACCTTTAGTTGAAAAGAAGGCGTGTCTCAGCATCCTGTGGAAATGGGCCAAGTGAATGGTATCTGAAAGTCACGTCTTTGAGAACAAATCCAGCAAAGGCATGGCACAGAACGTGAGAGATGCATCTGACCCTTCAGCTGATGATTATTCCCGTCATCAGAAATGGTCTCAGTGGAAGAGTGACTGTCAACCAGCTTACAGAAGGCAAACAGGGAGAAAAGGCTGAGATGTGCCAAACTACACAAGAACTGGACTGAAGATCTCATGGATTTGAATCCAAATTTGAAATTTTTGGCTCAAATCATTGTCAGTATGTATGGATGAGACCAGGAGAGAGGCACAACAGTGAGTGTCTACAAACACGGTGGAGGCTCTGTCACGGTTTGGGGTTGTCTGGGGAAGCGGTGTTGGGCGTATTGTCACAATTTATAGAATTTTGAACTCAGAAAACAGCAAATCTGTGAAGAATTGAACTTTGCTGTGATGTAGGGAAAAATCCCACTAGCAGAACTGATTACAGCCACAGAAACAGCAGTTTGAAAAAATAACGTCACAGACGTGGAAGAAGAAACTGTGGACAAAAGTTTCAGCCTCTCTCAGCAATGCAAAGCCCTCAGCATCCAACATCACCACAGAGGAAGGGAAGTCACTTACCCTCGTCTAAACCATAGAGACGATTGTGAGAAAATTTTGTCACTCTCAGCAACAAAAATACTTATGAGCCCCTGAAACAAGACCCAGGAACTCGTGTTCTACTGGCTTGAGGAAATGCTACTGACAGGCTATACTCAGGGGAAGCTACGCCAAGTCTGTACGGTTTACCGAAGATACATAAACAGGGTGCGCCTTTAAGACCGATTGTCTGTATGATCAACTTGATCAACTAAAACATCTCTAAGTTTCTGGCTTCGATCCTCAACCCGCTGGTAGGCAGCTCTGAACATCACATCCAGAACACCTTGGATTTTGTTGAGAAGGTGTGAGATGGTCTCGTACAATGTTACATCTCTCTTCACTTGTATTCCAGTCACTGAAGCAGTGGAGGTAGTTCGTAAGAGATTAAAGGATGACCCCAACCTCAGCAACAGGACCACTCACCCACCACGTGTGTTTGCTTTTGGAACTGTGCCTTAATTCCACCTACTTCACATACAAGAGTCAGTACTCGGGCAGAAACATGGGTGTGCCATGGGTTCCCCTGTTTTACCCATTGTGGCCAACTTGTACACGGAAGAAGTGGAAAGGAGGGCTTTGTTATGTTTCCATACGGATCAATAAATTAATGGACCTTTTTCACTGTTTTTGTAGGAAAATATAAAGAAATGAGTGTTTGTTTGAGACTTCTGCACAGTACTGCAGTCTGTGACAGCGTAGGTTCTTCGACAAACGTGTGCGTGTACTTCATTTGTTGCTTAAGTTGACAGTTAAACATCTCTGGACTCTCTGATCATGTTAAGACGGTGGACAGTGGAAGATTCTGTAGACGGGCTGCAGACCGCCCATCCAAGCCGACATTAGAAACAGTCCTACTTGTGTTTTGTGTGCCAGTAAGTGTAAGCTAGTCAGTTAAACAGGAAGAGGCTGGAGTTGATTGTTAGTCTGCCATTTGCATGCAAACCCACTGCATATGGAGCTCATAATGCAAGTGAAATAGACCCTATATAGACCACAAAAACAGCCAAAAAATGTCAAACGGAGAGATAGCAGGAACCACAGGAGCGATCAAAGCAACGTGTTAGCTGCAGACACAGGTTAGGAAAACCCAAGAAATACAAAACCAGAGAGTACACTTTGTAAAGACAGTTGTCTCACTGCCACGTGGACATTGAGGTTATACCAGTTTTAATAAATGGGCCCATTAAGGCCGATCAAATGGGACCAGACTGACAAAGACTAAAGTGAAAGTAATTTTCTCTATATATTATATTTTATTTAAAATTTCTAAGTAAGAAATTTCATTACTTCTTTACTCGAACAGCACATCAGACACAAAAAAACCCTTAGAAGCCTCAATGTCTGGAATAACACTCTGTGATCAACCCGTAAACTATGAATTGAAGAGTACAGAGAAGGCTGAGCTCACACTGTGGAGACCATTTATCTGAATTTCTGTCTCCTGCACTACAACATGTTATAATAAAAAATAATAACAATATTAATAATACAATATAAGCACGTGAGAATACAAATGTCATTCAAGTCTAACCAATTCCAATGAATGTGCTCAGCTCCAATCTTTCTGAATCAAAGCATCATGAGCTTAAATGCAAATTCATCTCTGCTGCAGTTGATGTAACCCAACATTGATCCTGAGCACCACAGCCTCTGTGCATTAGTCCAACACAGAGCGTCAAACACACCACAATACTGCAAACTAACCTGTTTCTCCTGCACTAAACCACCCAGTATTTTCATGCAACACTTGAATAACACAGTTAGCTTAGTTTGTTTTGCAGAATTTTTCACAATATGAAAATATGCACATATTTTATCAAAACACGTCATGTACAGATCCAATATGTGATTAAAATGATTACATTACATGCAATCTTTAAATCTGCAGTTTATCAAATACCACTGAGAAATCTAACTTCTCTTTCTCCATCTCTGAGTCAACTTATCTCACACTCTTTTGTCTCCCTGTGAAATACAGCAGCTGGACCTTTAGCTTGCAACAAACTGCAAACACACAAACTGCACGCAGACAGTTTGTGTGTTTGCTGGTGTTTGTTGAGCCCATAGAAACGCTACTTTTAAAATGACTTCACACTTAAAGAATAAAACATTTAGAGGTCATCTACTAATGGGAAGATCCGAGGTTTGATTCCTGGCTGCTCCAGTCTGCATACCAAAGAACCCCTAGTTACTCTCATTCACTCTCCAATGAACACATCAAAGAGTCCATTGGAGAGTGAATGTTAAATAGAAAGCACTTAAATAGAAAAAGGATGGAACAAAAGTGCTTAACTCTTTATTTCCAAGCAAGACATTATAAAAGGCAGAAAAATAAAACAGCATTTCTGATCAAATCACTGATCAGTGTCCACGTCATGCCAGCCGGTGGTTTTGTGAGAGTTTTAAGAGTGAAGCAGAAGGAAGCAAATCTCTTCATCATGCTTGTTGTCCACAACATCTGTTTTTAATTTAGAAAACACAGTTTCACCCCAGACTAGTCGGGTAACCCGACGGAGTGAACAATCAAAGATCTGGACACAAGAGGACTTACGCAGACTTTAGACTCCCCTCAACAGCTCTTGAATCTTGAACTCATTATCCTGTTATCGGTTTCCTGATTGTGTTTGCATGACCTGCTTTGTGTGAGCAGTTTCTGAACAGGCTGCACATATTTACAGGGTTGCTCAGGTGCGCTAATCAGCACAGTCGGTGCCTATTTTTAGGAACTCTCCTCTGTCAACACAATTATTTTCCAAATTTGCCTCTTGGGACCTGACAATAGCTTCTGATGACTAAAGTCAACAGTTAACTCCTCGCGGGACAATTCCCAGAAATGATGACCCTAGTCAAGCCGAGAACAAACAACCGGCTTCTGCTTACAGTCAAAGTAAACAGCTCCACACTTTATGTGACATATCCCACTTTTCTAATTTGCATTTGAACACAACTTCATATTTACAGCTTCAAATGGACACAGAAGTCGTTTTTTTCCTAAACTCAATTACTGCCAAACAGATGCAGACAGCTGGAACCGTTTTCTGGACGCTCCTAAATCCTGCTCTCCCTTTACAAGTTGCCTCGGAAACGGAGCATCTGTTTCTAGAACAGTTAATCCAGGCGACGTCGGATTTCAGGAACGAGGTGCAATAAATATGTATGCAGACAGTTTCCAGTGAGGCCAAGTAAAGGGAGCAGAGGGTGGCATTTTCATCACCTGTGCTGACTGCGTAATATCAAGTCAAATCCAGAGAGCCTAGTGTTTTGCGTTCTAAGTTTAAACAAAATAAAACTTCAATTCAATATTCAAAGGGAAGTTTTTAAAATATTGTTTATTCAAAATACAGCTGCAGGAAAGAAGAAATGGAAACAATTTAGCAATTTTAACCAAGAGGGGAGCATGAAGCAAGTGAGCCTTCCAGTCTGTGTGTGTAGTAGCTCCTTTGGGGGTTTTTTTTATAGAAAAACTTTAAGGCAAAGAGTATGTTAATGGAGGCGTATGCATCTCTTACTGATTAAAACATAATCCCTGCTTTCATTAAATGAAAGGTTAAAAATGTTTTGGCCTCAGTGCCGTCGATCTGACTGTGGCGTCAGACGGACGCCTGTTTCGGGAACCTTTTTATTCAACACAGGAAAAACCACAAGGTTTCGACAGCACACTTGCTGCGTTGCTCAGTCTGAATGCAACGTTCTGCATTGTGGTTGACTGCTTCCCACCATAACTGATGGCAGTTAAAGTAAACCACCGCCCGCAGATACATTATGGCCTCCATTAACAGCTGTAGGTGCAAGATGATGCACGAATAAACCGCTTCAACTAAAAACAAAATGTTGGTTGTTTTTTTTAAAAAAAAAAATGTAATTTAATTCATTCAATTCAATCAATTTAATTCATTAAACTTTTTACATAAAGAGTGAGAGTTGAAGTTTTGAAGTTTCACTTTGTTTTTCACACAAGCACAAACCAGACAGCAGAGTGATAGTAAAATATGCTCTGGAGATGTTTATGAGCGAACATCATCTTTAGATTCATATCACCTTTTTTGAAATATGCAGTCAAAGTGCAAAAGTCTGCTGCTGGTAGGATTTTCCATTAACTCGTTTCTTACATGCTGGCCACATTTATCATCCACATTATACATCCAGGGAAATTTGTTGTTGTTGTTTTTTTAAAACGAGCAAATAAGTTTTTTTCCCCATATATGTCAAATTGTATCAGACAACGCTGAGTCACTGCTACAACTCTTTAAAACTTGCACCAGGTTTGGCTTGATTGCCAATCTTTGTGATGATATGACACTGTTGTATCTGTTGAAGTGAGATACATGAATTACTATGTGCCGCTATGCCTCAGTCCCACAGATATGTACTGAACAGGGGGCACACAAAGGGTTTACAAACCACCTGACCTGAATATCTTTAGTATGGCGCGAAAAACCCACGCAAGCACTTTGGAGAAATGCAAAGCAGGGGAAACAAACCTTTCAGTACTTCAAAAGGCTGGCTTGAGGTTTCCTCAGACCTTGTTTCCCTTTTACACAAACTCTCAAGTTCTTCACCAGCAACAGAGTGCAGTCTTCATTCTGATTTAAAAAAAACCCAAACGAAAAACAAATAACACACATTTTTACAAATGTGAGTCAAATGTCTTTTCTTTTTTTTTCCCCAGTGCAAAAGTAGAGAGGAAGCGTCACAGGTCTGTTCGATTAGCTGTTTCACACATCATTGTCATCACCCAAATGAATCACTTCCGTTTTCACAGATAAGTCAGTCAATTTTAATAACCATGGCTCGTTTATTTAAGCCTCACATTTCACAGTAGGACAATGAGGATGTTGTCTTGTCATTTGCACCACTACTGAGTTTTAATTGCGGCGATGTGTGAACATTGAAGGACTTTTGAAACACTGTGCTGTGAATGAGAATCTATTGTTTGAACTCTAAACACACTGATCTCACACCCACAGTGACACAAATCGCCGGTTCTCGAACACAACACTTCAACGTGACTGTCCGACTGAAAGGACCGAGGTAATATTCTCAGCATGTGCTCATGATCTACAGTGTGACACATTCGCACTCACAGTCTGATGATACGCACAAAGTGTTGAGTAATACTAGGAAAAAGCTGCTTTGCAGGGGTAGGTGTTGAAATAGTAGGGTTTACAAAGCAGAGCCATTTTCACAGCGGTGCAGTACAGATCCCCTAAGAATCCGGAGACCTGCTGCTTCACCTGAGGGTGCGTTGCTGCCTTCCAAACGGCGTGAATGTCTTCTATGTGTCCATGTGATGTCATCATCTTTGCGTAGATACATGGGTGATACGGCGCCTTGCCCTCTCCTGAGAAATAAGTGTGCTCCTGTGGTGACACACCCACGGTGTTGGCGCAGATGCCCATGAACACATCGTCTATGTAAATGGATGCGTTCAGCGTCAGCGTGGCGTGGTAGATTTTCTCCGCGACGTCACTGGAGACAACATACGCAGCCCCAGCTGTGTAGTCTGGGTAGGTCACCCAGGGGTACATCTCATAGGAAACGTAGTATTTGCTCTCCTTGTCGCGGATGGGTGGCGCGCCTCTGTGCACTCGACCGATCCAGAAGTCTTTAACACCTCTGCTACTCACGTCCTGCAGGTAGCTCACCAGGTTGGGCATGTGGACGAAGATGTCGTCGTCAGCGGTCATGAGGAAGCGGGCGTGTGGGCAGCGGCTGTGCATCCAGTGGAACTGCATGATCAGCTTCAGGGTCAGGTTGTGGAAGGAGTCTAAAAAGTCTTGCTGGATCAAGTCGCCGTGGAGACGATTCTCCTGGATGAGCTGATCCTGAAAACCAACGCCACTCCTCTTGCTCCACAGAGGCTCCGTCTCCTTGGTCTGAACTGCTCCCAGAACGAACACCACCTTGACCGTCACCCCCAGGGTATTTTGGATGTAGGTCTCGTTCCCCCAGGTGGACCTGATGGCCGTTCGCCTTTCAATGTTCTCTGGCGACGTTTTGACAAAGAGGAGGAGGAGAACATCTTTCCCGACGCATTTATTGGGGTGGTCCATAAGGTACTGGAAGTTGCTGAACATTCTGGCTTGCTTTCGGGGGATGGTGAGGCTCTCGTTGATGTAGGTGAACCGGTTGACCAGGTAGCGATAGGAATAGGATTTGACGTGGCTGACGACGCCGTTGTCCAGCTGCTGCCAGCAGACCATCACCACAGAGAGCACAAGGCAGGTGGTCATCACCTGCACCAACTGGCATTTTCGAACACGGCGGAAATTCAGAAACATCCTGGAATGGGATCAACTAGTGGCTGCGGTCCCTGTCTGAGAGGAGGCGGCAGCGGAGCAGGTGTTGGTGCGTTCAGGGGAGGTAAGGTAATGGAGGTCGACAGTGTTGTTTGATTGCCTCAGAGCATCACTTGCTTGGTATTCCATCCTAGGCTCTCCAACATTCAGCAGGAGGCAGAGGCAGTGGTGAGACTCAGTGGGGGCTGCTGGGAAGTGTGATCCATCGGGGTGGGGGGAGAAAGCCACTCAGTCACTCAGCAGCAGACGACTCATTATTTGCCCACTTAATTTTTGGTTCTGCAAAGAGAGAGAGCGCATTTATAGTTTAATAAATATAAATTAATAATAATTTATATTATATATAAATTAAATATAAATTAAACTAAATATAGTTTAATTTAGAAAAAACAAATCTGTGCAAGGTGATTATGGGCAACTAGAACCACATTTAAAAACAACAACTAGATGTGAAAAATCATTTTAGTTAACTAAAATAAAAGTCCACTCTGGAAACTAACTGAAAATAAACTGAATTCAAAACTAAAATTTTAAATGAAATAAAAACTAATCAGAAAATGCAAAACTGTAATAAGGCTGCTTCCGTGCATTTCGAAAGGAGGAAACGGAAACATTCAAAAGGCATAACGTCCTTCTTGGCGGCAAAGCATGGCAGATGCATCTCTCGTGTCAAATTCAAATTTTCGCAAACATACTTTTTGCCCGCCATCACCCCGTGAACCCCACATGTACAAGTCCCAGAGTCGCACCATTAGCTGAAGAGCAGATTGTTTGTGGTCGATGGGAGATGGTGGTGTTGGTGGGGAATCTGGGGGTCATGGTGTGAGCGAAAAGAATGCAAAAGCCAACACAGCAAATGTTGCAATGCAAGCTTGTCCATAATGGAGGGGTTTACTGTGCAGACCCAGTGAAATCGCTGAGAGTCATGGAAAACACTGATACAATGGACGGTGTCAGAATAGCTCAGCAGCACAATACAGGACGAGAGTAACTCGCTTCCGTCAAGGCCTAGGCTAAAAGCGCGGGGGGGCTGGGTTGCTGGGTGGGGCTGCTGTTGGGTCGCATTGAACGCAGGGCATGCGACTCCCAGTGCGCCCCGAGAGCTTTTTAAACATCACTGGGTGGCCTGTGCCTAATGGGGTCAGTGGCTCCGAATGGCTTTCGTTTCTCTCTGCCCAATAATGAAAAACGCTTCACAGAAACGCTTAACACTTCATCTAGTTTATTACTTTGCTGTCTGCGTGATGCGCTCCTTTTATTATTATTTTTCGCAGATATTTTATAAGAGGTAATGCATTCATGTCTTCATTACAAGCCTGCCAAAGGGAGGGTTCTTAACGGTGCGTGACATGTTAGCATGAATTTACAGGGTTTGTTTACCCGAATCACAATAGAATTAAAAACATGCTTCAGCCTTAATAACTGGGAGAGACATTATTGGGTATTTATTCTAAAGGTTTGAGATATCTGTTTATGGAGGGAGTTGCGCCTTCCTAGAGAGGGGATGAAGTGCAACAATGCACAGCTAACAAAGACAATGTTGTAACACGAGCTGTGAAGGCAGTGCCACAAACAAAAATCATTTCCATTTAGCGCTATCTGCATGTGCTGAGGTCAGAGCTTGTAGCTCTTTTCAGATGCGTGTGGAAATGAGGAACTATATGCAACGTTTACAGAAGGATAATATATCCTTCACATGCACAGAGTAAAGAAGAACATGTTGCATTTCTCATAAACGATGAACCAGTTAATCTGTTACACATTTATAGATAATCTTCAGGACTCCTGTGTTAGTTGAAACTGTGCACTTTTCTCTACACGGATGATTCTGCTACAGGATACAGTAGACAGACAGCAGCCTTAAGCCAGTTTCTCAACCTAATCTATACCCCTTGTATGAATAGTCTTGTAGCACAGAAGCAAAATGAGAAGGAGATGGGGGCCAACTGTGACCTGAATGATTATTCTAGAACTTACCGGCAAAAGAAAGTTTCACCGTATGAATCCAGCGACAGCCTCCTCTCCTATACTGAACTTCCTTCTTGACTGCACGGTGCGTCTCTGCTGTCTGACGTTGACCCCTCCTTCAGATGACAAGAGGCAAAAGACTCAACAGAGGCTGGCATCAGTCTTCTGTGAAGTAGTCAAACCACCTGTGGGAGGATCCGAGTGAGAATGTGTGTAGTAATTTTTTTCCTGTTCCCTCTCTTGGTCTGTGTGTGCAGTGCAGACTTCTGCTTGTTTCTGAATGAACCATCTCTGCTCTTGCGCCCTCCCTTTTTTTGCACTGCAGTCAGTTTTCGGTAGGTTGGTAGTGCAGGAAGGACAATAAGAGCCTGCTCCGACAAACATTACTTTCAAGTTCACAAGCAAACTCCCTGCACACGTCACGCACACACACCTTTGGATTTTCTGAACCTGTAGGAACCAATCGGTATCTGAAGATAAATGCACTATAAACACACTGCATCCTGTATACTAGCCAACGGACACATCATTGGTCCCTTTGTCTAACACCAGGAAAGGACTACCTTCAGAAGAGAGTTAATGCAAAATGTGGAGGCAATCAGTGACAGGCAACATAATCAACGTACTGACAGCTCTGACTATAAAAAGCCCACACTTTATCCATTCAGTGTTCACACCAAAGCCTCAGTATCACAACCCTTTTTATTTATTTAGCTTTATAATGAAATGTAGCAGCCTCAACTCCATTAAAACAGGAAATATGAAATCCTAAAGCGGCGTGCCCTGAATTTCACCTGAGAGCCCGCGAGTTGGATGTCTAAAAATATACAAAATGACCTGATTAGACAGAAATGTTTGTCAGGAGGTTACAGAAGTGAAAGACTACACTATGATGCATCAGGTTCTGCACAGCATATGACTAACTGTATTGGGAAAGTGTGAGGAAAAAGTTGTGCTCGGGGTTGGCTTCCCACTCGCACACTCACAGTAATGCTCACATGCTTATTTGATCAGCTGGCACACAAAAGGATCTCAGATCACTGGGACAGTTTTTAATTATGGGAAAGCCATAAAACCAGTTACAGGCGTCATTAATTTACTTTATTAACATTTAACACTAGGTGGTTTGGCACCAAAACAAATAATCTAGTTTTTCACTCCACTCATTTATTCGCATGATGATTTTTGGCCCCATCCTCTCATTGTTTCTTTGCATAGGACTTGTTCCTGGTTAACATCCTGCATTGAATCGGGAGCAGAAACTGGCCACGATCAGGTGCTTCCCTTTAGGTAATGCACGTCTCTGTCTAGAATCCTGCAGAGACCACCTGCTCAAGACCGGTTCATGGTAAAATTATGTTCTTTCCACTGACGGATTATGGACCCAACAGCGCTCACTGAAATCTTCAGTAGTTTATAAATTCTTCTGTAACCAGTGACATCAATATGTTTAGCAACAATAAAGTGTCGCAAAAGCTCATTGGTTTTCCCCATCACAAGATGTTTTTTTGTGTAACACCTTGGTAATGAGCCATCTAGCACTTAAAAACCGACTGATACTGAAAGTAATAAATTCCTAAATTGGATTAGATCACAGGTGTCGGACTCCAAGCCTCGAGGGCCGGTGTCCTGCAGGTTTTAGATGTGTCCTTGATCCAACGCAGCTGATTTAAATGGCTAAATGACCTCCTCAACATGTCCTGAAGTTCTCCAGAGGCTGGTACTGAACTAATCATTTGATTCAGGTGTGTTGACCCAGGGTGAGATCTAAAACCTGCAGGACACCAGCCCTCGAGGCCTGAAGTTTGACACCCCTGGATTAGATCTTCAACTGGAACACTAGTGACACCAACAGCACCCTCTGTGATGCCTCCAGCTACCAAGTTGATACTGCATAGCTGCAGACAGGCAGACATACAGCCCCTCCCCTCAGCAGTAGCTTAAATAGTTAATATTCACAACACTAAACAAAGAAAGCTCCCATTTCAACAACACTGCAGTACTGAACATTTACGGTGCTTGTTTTCGGCACCTTTATGCTCCAACATGTGGCGGTGCGCGGTGGGCATACCTTCTGCTATCCCAGTGCCTGTGTGAAGGATATTACTCTGACCGCTCTGCAGCTGTTGGAAACTCACCACAAAGCCTCAGCAACAGTTGTTCATGTCAGTACTACTGGCTTAAACCATCGTCAGAGATCCTCAAACAAGACTTGCACCTCGTGTGCAGTCTGCTGGATAAGCAATAAATCGTCTCCGGGTTACTGACCCACCTGTACTGTTTTGATGACGTAAAAGTCAGCCGCCAGCGTGAAGGCATGTTTCTGCATGTTTAGCTCAACAGCTATTGCAAAAATAAAGACATTCCCCTTGTCAATACGAGCATTCTTCAACTGCCTTGAAACACTTGTTGACCAATCAACATTCGGAAGTCGCTTACGTCATCCACTTCCAGCAATTTGCAGTCTCGATCTTGGAGAACCGCACTGGAGCACATCTCAGCTGGGTGAAAACCCTGCTCTGCCCTCTGTCTGACTGAAAAGTGTACGTGGATGGACGCATTTGCTGGACCATAAATTGTGCTCGAGTCTATCAGGTCAGCTGATGCTGTTACCAGTTTTAAATGACTGCTGAAAGCTTGTTTTCAGAGGTTAGCTTTCCTCACAGGGATTTCCTCCATAATTTTAACCCTTTAAATACCAGTTAACTCACATAATTTGTATGATTTATATAGGGATAAAAGCATAAAATCCCCATTTTTTTTCTAAATAATACATGCAAACTGATTTATTTTCTAACCACAATGGAGGTTAGATGCATAGCAATAATTAAAAGTATCAATGAGTTTTATGCATCTTTGTTTTTTTGTGCAGTGACAGAAAAAGAAAAAAGAAAACTCCCTCTCAGCTTGTTCGTGGCCAAAAATGGCCACCCCCTGTTTATGTTTACAAAATACTATAAAATTAATATATATTAAAACATTTTCCTACTTTCGTTGACTTGATTTTTTAAATTAGCATCGCTTCTAGTCATAAAAACCAAAATACAATTCAAATTCAGATATTATACCCTTTGAATACCAGTCAGATTTATGTATTATTGCTACGCTTTTGGTGGAAAATAGTAATAAAGTTCACATTTTTTAGCATATGAATGGTGAAACCTAATATTTTTTTTATCATCATTGCAGGTCAATAACAGTAACAATGATTTATTTTTACTTTATTTATTTATCTTTTCTTTGGGGGTTTGGGGGGGATGAATGGCCAAAAAGAAAATCACACATGGTGTGTTAGTGGCCAGAAAGGCAATTTAATGACCAAATAACCACTGAAATGACCAATAAAATGATCAAAATTTATATTCCAGTGTGAGCTTCTGTGTGCATCCTCATTAGCAGCAAGATGTACTAACCACATTAGAGTGGTTTTTGTAGGCACACTTTCTACACCTGGTGCAAGGGGCTGCTGTTCCAGTCCTGGAGGTACGCCTTTTGCACCTTCTTCTCATTTCGTTGGTGGGATGTGGGTCACACTCTGGTTCAGACTACTGTATCTTGAGATCAATGGCAGAAGTGGCTGAGAATCAGGGACAAGGGTGTCTTGCAGTTGTTGAGGTCACCAGCATGTGCCCCAGCTCTCCCAGGATCACTCTTCATTTGTAGGTTGTAGAGGACTCCTCCACTTCAGTGAAGTTGTTTCCGGCGGGACAAAGGCATCGTATCCCAAGACATCCAGGAAATTGGAGAAAAGAGCCATCAGCCATCAGTTAGTTTTCCTTCTACAACTCGAGGTGCCAACATCCTCTCTAAGTTATCCAAGCAATATTTGTGCCTATTGTAGTCCAGGATTGCTTCTTGCTTTCACCCATCCTTTATTCCCCATCACTGACTGCTGGTTCCTTGTGTGTTGCTGTCAAAAGAAGCACATTCCTCCGTTGCTTTGGCATGTGGGATATTGCTGTGGTAGTTTTGGTGAAGCCAAAGACAGACAACAAAATCGTCCTCTGTTGCAACTGGAGGAGCTGGGGAGGAAGCTCTGGGTTGTTTCCCCTGTGCCAGTTTTCATCTGAGGGGCTCCTCTGCCAAGGTGCCTGAAGGAAAGACATCGTCCTCGGAGCTCCTCCGTCAGTTGGAGTCTGAACCCCTTTCCTTTTTTTACTTCCTGAGAACTTCCAGTGTTGTCATTCAACATGCTATGTATTGCTTTATTCTGGTGTAGGCTTTATCTCTACTTCATCCATAATCTCCAGTCCTCACACCTTGGCCTCCCGTGCAGGTTTGTAAGGGTGCACAGCAGCTAAAAGATCTCCTTTGTTATAAAAA